ACTTTCTCAGACGGAAAAATCTAATGACACTACCTTCAGCCAAACTTCAACAATATTACTATGCCGGCCCATCTTTGAAGTCAGCTCGCCCGGTATATCTATTACACCTCCGGTGTCCTTTATTAAAGGATGCTGCGTGAAACTAACGGCTAGTTTCACGCAGATTTCAATCGTGCGTGAAGGCAAAGACAGGAATAGTGGGACCTTCCAGAAACCATCACAAGTAAAAAGTTTAGGTCGGGGAGTCATTTGGGCAATACTAAATTATTAATAGATCCGGGTTACCCTTGGTTGACCTCGAGATTTACAAGCACTCGTTGCCTCACTGTGGATGTGGGTTGATGTGACACACAATCGGCTATTTTAGCTGGGAGCAAATCCGTACTTAGACAGTTCGCTACTAAATACACAAAATTTGTCCCCGATTCAAATTCTGGCTTGCGGTACATTCCAAAACTATAGTGTAGCCCATCAAACTAAACAGGTCGACCATCAACAGAACGAAAACATCTCTCGTTGCTGTCGTTGCTGTGCATTCCAACCTAGGTTTTGCATAGCATGTCAGGGATGCTGATGTCTGCTGCGAGACAGAGAATCATCTTCCAACAAGCTGCTGCTAGATTTTATTAGCCAGGACGCTCTAAACAGCAGTGGATTTTGGTTGTGATGCCGCTCTTTGTTGTTCTATTCTTTGGAAGAACAAAGCAACGTCAACAACAAACAAGATACCTCTCACCTTGACCTCCAAATTTTGGTTTCTGGGCTGGTTTCTGATCTCATTATCTTGGATTCGCAGCATCATGCAGGCTGAGAAACCGGCTGAAAAGCCAAAGAAACCCAAAGGGCGAAAGAAAGATTGGGTGATGGAAGCCGGAGCAGGTGCGCCGCCACCTGAGAAACCATCACCACCCAGCTCTCCTGAGTTGGTCGCAGGTTGGTACCCTACACATCCTGACATGACTGGTCGTCTTTCCTACTCTCCAGACTCTGACGAACTTGAACTTGCTCGTGCCGTTGCAGAAGCCCAGGTGGAGAACATGCAGAAAACTGCTCGGAAGAAGGCAACACTTGCTGCTGCCGCTGCTGAAAATCGTTTGTTTGATTGCACTCAGGAGAAGTTTCTGAATGAAATGGATGTGGCTGCCTTGGCTGATGCCACAGCAGGATCTAAGGCGAAGACTCCCCAAGCAGCTGCTGCTTCTTGGAATACCCCACCGACCAACACATCGGTGCCTATTATTCCTCGGGCCCCTGCTCCTCGACAGTTTGCTCCTGTATTCCACCAATCACCTGCTCATTGGCGTACACCAGCCAAGAACGATGATTCTGCTTTCACCATGCAGTCGACTACCTGGCCGACTGTGACTGGCCAAGAAGAAGAATCTGTTGCTGGTCGCAATGGACGTCACAGTGCTCCACCCATGTTGCCAAGCCCCACCAAATGGTCACCTGAAACACAGGCTGCTCCTGCAAAGAAGAAGGCCGCTTCTGTCAAGCCAAAGGGAAAGCCCAAGGCCAAGAAAATATCTGCCGGTGGTGGTGATAGTCACTTTACTGATGGAGAGGTATCCACCTTCTTTGACATCCTCGACACAGCATTTAGCTCCAGAGCTAACAAACATCGCTTCCAGCTGATTGTAAACATCTCCCATTTCACACACAGTGCTGTCATGCATGGAACCAGGAGCGTTCACAACAGCCGCCACCATGGATCCATCAGCAGAGAACACAAAGACGTTCGTGATGTAGTGATCATGAGTCCAACCATTGTAATACATGGACTGCTCATCCAAATCTTCATGTTTCTGGAAGGTAAGCTTCAAACCATCCATAACAAATCCAACATCACCAAGCTGGTCGTGTCGCAACTGTACAATCTTGCAGAAAAGCTGAGCTTGTGTGGCAGAGGGCCATTCAACGCGAGCAAGTGGGTGCTTCCCAAGAACTCTGAGCATGCCCCGTCTACCAAAACGGAGCCAGACGTTAGCATGATTGGAAGTAAAGCCAAACCATCCTTGAAGAATGAATTCACCTCCTCTGAAGCGATACCAGGTCAGCACAAGCCCAACGCAAGTTTCAGCATCAATAATGCGAGATCGCCCATGGGTGTACTTGCTCAACTGTTTGAACCTTGTGCCATCTTGTTTTCCTGTCCAAGGGGTATGACTGTTAAACCAAGGAGCGAACAGCTCAACAAGTTTCCGAAAGGATGGATGGTCAAAACCGGTTGTTGTGATGAGAGCTTGGTTGTTGCCAGAGGCGTATAGAGCGGCCCAAGGTGAGTTTTTTGGCGAGAGTAACGCGATCCTGGGAATTCTTCGGTCTCTTCTCAACCGTCCCTCAGCATCCAATAGCTCCCTGAAACTCAGGTCTTGAATGTCGAGCAGGTACAGCAAAAGGAGATTCCTGCGCCTCTGATGGAGCACCCTACTCCTGAGTGGGTCGTCCATGGTTCATCTGTCTACCATAAAGCAAGGAAATGGCGACAGGAATGAGCTGCCCAAGTTGTGAGTGTTCCTGTGTCATGTAGAAACCTACGTAGCTACTCTACTGCTAAGTACCATTTCTGTTGCACTTGTTGGCGACATCACCTCTTGCTCACTTTTGTTGGTTTCTGAAAGAAATTCGAGGTAAGTCACGGTCATGACTGGGTGCGATTAATTTTGTTTATAATTCCTCAAATGACCTCCCGACCTAAACTTTTTACTTGTGATGGTTTCTGGAAGGTCCCAGTGATACGTAAGGCGTGAGTTAAGAAAAGTGTGTGGCATAGCAGAACATTCATCACACTAACTGGTCAAATCCAACAAGGCGGACGGCACAGTTCCTGAGACTGAGTTGCGTATTGGCTTGGTATAGTTCCGTGAAGATTCCAGTCAAACAACCGTAGGAATGTCAGTTCTGTCATACTGCCAATCTCAGCTTTGAAGATTTATCGAAGATACCCAGGTGAAGTACTATGTGGGGATGGTGTGTACTGAATTGGATGAGGAAGGGGATCTTAAAAAAAGGACTGTAGTTGACTGTCCTGAGCTTCTACGCTAGCTACTCGTACCGATACTTGCTAGCTAGCATGATAAGCTATTACTTGCTGTTTGCAATCATGGCTCTCCCTTCAGCCAGATAGGCTTGTACCTCATCGGATTGTTGCAAGGACTGTATCAGTTCCTCGTGGCCAACACACGAATTTGCATAGGTGGCGACAAATCCCATTCGATTCCACTTTGGTGAAGCGTCTGCTTCGTGTATGCGAATGGGATCCCCAGCCATGTCGGTCATGGTTCCCCCCATACTGTGGCAGATGGCTTGTGGCGCACACGTATCCCAGGGCCCGCCAAATTTGTGTTGCACGACGCAATCGACATGGCCCAACGCCGTGGCGAGAATTTTGTTTCCGGCTCCTCCGTAGAGCACATTGGTGCCACCCAGTTGTGTTTCGATAATGTCTTTTGCCGCTGTCATGACGGCAATGGTGGAATCGCCCGACGCCATGATGGGACGTTTTTGTGGATTATTGCTGTTTGCTTTGGATGCCGGCAGTTCTGCTGCTGCTGCTCCAATGACACCATACCCGCCTCCGACTTGTCCATAGACAATGGTGGCATCGGATGACAAGTCATTTGCCGGAAACGGACTCCCAATAACCCCCGCAATGGCTTGTCCCTTTAGTGCAATTCCCACCAATGCTTGACAATTGTGGAGTCGTCCCTCCACGAATTCTCGAGTCCCATCGACGGGATCGACAAAGACAGTGACATCCGCCAAGTCGACTTGCATGTCCTTGTCCTGACTAAAATGTTCTCCAGCAGAAAGATCTATCGATGGTTGTGGTCTTTGTTTGTTAAGATCGATTTCTTCGTTGCCATTGCTTGCTTTAGTGCTATCATCATCTTCTTCTCCTACAATGGTCAATGCGGGTCCCCATGGTTGTTGTTGTAATAAGACAGAGACAATGGCCTGTTGCGCGCGTTGATCGGCTTCGGTGAGTGCCGATTTGGGGTCGGTGACATCCTTGAATTGCACTTGTTGTTCCAATTGTCCGTCGTTGGCTTGTCGTGCCCGTTGAACAGCACGAATTTCGTCACAACCGCATTGACACGCCACGATACAGGTCGACAACAAGTCTTGCAGTGATACTTTAGTAGTAGTTGTTGTTGTTGTTGTTGTTGTTGTTGTGGAGGAAGCAGGCTGAGATACCAGTGCGTCTACAGAGAGCAGCGCAAGGAAAATGGCAAGTGATTGTAGTGGTTTCATCATTATTGGAACCTTCTAAAATAGTTTACTATGGGATTGTGTTGTATGAAACAGTGGAGAGAGACTCGCTCCAAGGTCGTCGTGAACTCATCGGATGCTTGGATGGCTACCGTATGTGTGTGAAAGAAAGATGAGGGCGCGGGATTCGACAATCATCACTGACGTCAGTTCATTATTGGCTGCAAGTCTCTCATGATGGGCACTTCTCATCGATCAGATCCAAGGACGCGCGGGAACACAAGAAAACAGGGAACACGTACCGTATGCATATAAACACAAGAAAACAGGGAACACGTACCGTATGCATATAAACAATTTTTGAATAGAATCAATTTGGCTGACCACTTGTCTTACTGTGCTGCTACCGGGTGCCCTAAACTGATAACATGGGGCAGAGAGATTTGACCCCACCAGCAGGGAAATATTAATAAAATTCAACATATGAGTTAAGGGACATGGGTCGCCTCGTGATTGCCCATCCTCGTTGCTGCCATCATCAGCACTGCTACTAGCTCTGCTACAACATTGTCTATTTTAACAGTGCCGAATCCAAAACAATGTCAGATCAAATGCAATTCCTATAATCTAAATATGGCTTCAGAAAACAGCTGCAAGTTATCTGTTTTTAACAATGATTCAGTAAATATTGGCAATAAACTAATTAAACTAGTAAAAGTAATAAAATATATAAATATATAAAATAAATAATTATAACAATACAACTAATTTATGTAATATTAAAATATTTTTCTGTTATATAACACAAGTTTTTCTACAAACTAATATTATTCAGAAATATTAAAATAAATCTAAAATAAAAAGGATAAATCTTAATTTTGCTCAATTTTTAAACATTCTAATTGAGAAACCCAAAAACAATTAATGATCTATTAAAATCATCATGTCGCCAGTGGGTATACCACAAGGGGCCAATACCCACTGCTAAGTTGTCTAATTAAATTAATTAAATACATCATTGTGATATTTTTAAAACTTATGCAAAACGTCGAAAAAATGTCGGTCAAAATGTCGTGTAAAAATGTCGCGTAAAATGTCGTGTAAAAATGTCGTGCAAAAATGTGTGCAAAATGTCGTGCAAAAATGAATGTCGTGTAAAAAAGAAGTTGTGTCAAAATGTGCGTCAAATGTCGGTCAAAATGTCGCGTCAAAATGTCGCGTCAAATGTTCGCGTCAAAATGTCGTGTAAAATGTCGTGCAAAAGTCGTGAAAAATGTCGTGCAAAATGTCGTGCAAAATGTCGTGCAAAATGTCGTGCAAAATTTCGTGCAAAATGTCGTGCAAAATTTTAATTCGTGCAAAATTTCTGCAAAATTTCGCGTAATTTTGCTAATTAGCCACACAGCGTATCTTTATCACGAATGTAATTTTTATGTCATTTGGAATTGCAAGTTATCTTAAATTTCGCGTAATATGGTTGTATTCGTATGTCATGCAGCTCATTATCGCATAATACAGTAGCTACATTCTTATGTATGAGAGCTAGATTCTGCGTGTTTGAGTGTTTCGTAGATTCTCGCGTTTTGACTAGATTCTCGCGCGTTTTAGTTAGATTTTCGCGTGTTGAGTTAGATTCTTGCTTTTTACACTCGACTTCTTATTTTTTGAAATACATACTCCATATTTCAACTTTGTTATTAACAAAACTTCTATGTCAGCGAGATTTTTTTTTGGCACACACGTAAAGAAATATATTCTCGTCGGTATTTTTGCTTTATTGTTTGTGAAATACATTGGTTGTCATATCACACTTGTGCAAGAGCAAGAGTTATATTCTTGCATATTTTAGATTGCTCTTATTATGTAATGCAAACTGCTTCAATGTCGCGTGATAGAATTACATTTTTCGTGTTAGCGCTAGACTTTTGTGTGTTAGAGCTGAATTTTTGCTTGTTTTCGGCATTAGAGCTATGTCTTACATTTTTTTGTGTTACAGCTACATTTTTCTTGCATGTTAGAATTTTATTCTTGCGCATTTTAGTTTGTTTAAATTTCAGTTCTTTTCTAAATGTCACACACGCGTTGCAGAGTTACTTTCTCATATGTTGTGTATTAGATGCATGAAAAATACTTTTTCTCGCGTTTTAGTTGTGTCTATATCAGACAGAGCTACATTTTGGTTTTTAAGTAGCTTCTTTGTGTAGTATTAGAGTGCGCTCTCGCATGTAGTTTTGACTAGTACATTCTGATGAGTATTTTAGCTTTGTTGTTGTTTTCTAGTGAGTCTCTTTCTAGTACACATGTGAGAGAAATATTCTCGTGTGTTTTATTATCATGTGAAATACATTTTCTTTGTTATGGTGTTACATGAGTGAGAGAGCTAGACTTTCGGCGTTTTAGCTTTGGAAGTACTACATCATCGTCAATTTGGCTTTGGTGAAGGAGTGTAATGAACTACATTTTGCATGCCTTAGAGGTTTCTGAATCAGTCTGGTACGTTAAGAAAGTCTACACTTTGGCGTTTGTGTGTTAGGATTACATTATCATGTGTTTTAGATTTTTTGTTGTAGCATATTAGAATGGTAAGATTTCTGTGCTGGTGAGACGCGTCACAGAACTATGTCCAATGTATGTTAGCTTTTTGTTGTATAGAAATGCATTTATTGTTCATAATGGACTTGTCTGTATTCATTAGCATTTAGTGCCAACTATATTTTGGGTGTATAGAAGTATACATCTTGCGTTAGAGTTACATTTTTCGCCAATAGAGCTACATTTTCCGATTAGAACTATATTTTTTGGGTCAGAGCTGTGATCTATGTGTTAGAGCTATGTTTTTATGTGTTAGAATTATCTATAAATTTTGTAATAGAGTCGCGTATTGTTGTCGTGCAATGTAGCTATATAAATATGTTTGGTAAAAGTCAAACAATATATTTAATTAAAATGAATTCGTTTGCATTTTTTATTTTAGAAAAATTTATTTAAAGTCCCAGTACAACAGTAAAATAACAACTGCCAACAGTCAACAAAAAAAACGTTTTGCAATTGGACATTTGCAATACACAGTTCACCCCCCAGCTTGAGCACTACAGATAGCTGGAGTAGGTATACTCTGCTTAACTCTCAATCGTTTTGGCACCAAGCCTTGCGCTGCGACGTTCTAGCAGCACCTTTATTCCACTCTTTTTGAGGCCTTCCAAACAGAAGTTAGATGCCCCATACATTTTCTACAGTACCAGAAAGACCTTATTGTTTTACGCGACTACTCTACAACCAAGGAGCTACTGACTTCCCGCTCATATAGATGTTGAGGAGGGCTACAAGCTTGATCCATCCCTGCACTGGTTGTAGCAAATTCCATATGGCCTCTCACCTCATTGCTTTCGTTATTTGTTAGTTTACTTTTTAGCTCCTGGTGAGTCGAATTTGTTATTTACATTGTTTTGCTTTTGTACTCTCACTGGGCCCCATATCCCAGCTCGAATGGCTTCTGGCCGGCCGGGGACGCTCGCGCCGCCGATATACCCAGCAGACTTGAAGCCCTTGTGTCTGGTGTTGTTCCCTTGAATGATTGTGCCCCCCCTGTGTTGAACTAACAAATCGGATGATTAGACCATGGCAAAATTTGCTCTATCAAACACCTGCTCAGGCTGCTCTAGATTATTCCTGGCAGCTCTGTGTCTGCTCTTTTGGATTCCAAATGGAGCAACGGCGTTTACCAGCACTACTGTCCATCGACGACCATGTCACCACTTCCAACCAACACTGCCATCACTGCGTCGGCACATGGTAGCCACGGATAATGATAACAATGACAGTGTCATTGTCAGCAGCACAACCGAAGATGAACCATCAACTACTATTGAAGAAGAATATTATGCGCAAGACATTAATGGCAAGGAAATTGCCGCCACCATTCGTCACGAAATCAAGGAACAAGTCGAAGAACTGATGATGCAAAACAAAGACAATCATCATCATCCACCTGGATTGGCCGTCATGCTGGTGGGATCTCGTCGCGATTCTCAAACCTACGTCAATATGAAAACCAAAGCGTGCGACCAAGTGGGAATTGCCAGTTTTCAATTCAACTATCCAGACGATGCCAGCAACGAACAAGAAGTTTTGGAAAAAGTCCTGGAATTGAACCAAGATCCTACCGTTCACGGTATTTTGATTCAATTGCCACTTCCCGCCCAATGGGATCAAGATGCCATTTTACAGGCCGTCCATCCCGACAAGGACGTGGATGGATTGCATCCCGTCAATGTCGCCAAATTATGGACCAATTCACAACAAGAATCATTCTTTCCCATTCCCTGTACACCCCTCGGTTGCATGGAGTTGTTGCGACGCAGTGGCATTGACGTGGCGGGAAAACATGCGGTTGTGTTGGGACGCTCTCATTTGGTCGGATTACCACTCAGTCGATTGCTCTTGCAAGCCGATGCCACTGTTACCATGGTGCATTCCAAAACTCAACATATCGACGCAGTCGTACGACAAGGTGATATTGTCATTGCAGCCGTTGGTCGTGCCCAAATGGTCCAAAAGGAATGGCTCAAAAAGGGAGCCGTCGTAGTGGATGTGGGGATCAATGCCGTGGATATGCCACCGAAAAAACCAGGAGGTAAAACATACAAACTCGTGGGAGATGTCGACTATGCCGAAGCCAGAAAGGTGTGCTCCCGGATTACTCCCGTTCCCGGTGGAGTCGGACCCATGACCATTGCCATGTTGTTACGGAATACTCTGCAAGCGTGTCAACAACAACAACAACAAAAACAACAATAATAATAATAAGACACACGTGGAGTTGCTAGCTAACTAAATTTGCATGGAATTGTACCGTTGTTCATGTCTAGATTATACGTAGAGGAAAATTCGAGAAATGATAGTACTTCTACATGGCATTGTTCGCTATTATTTAGTTAGGTTTTGGATGGAGGTGATGATTGTTGTTGTTGCGTTTGACTATTAGTAGTACTGGCAGATGATGAAGCTGCTTGTTCGGCCGCCTTTTGTTTCCAGTAATCTTCTAACGGTTGTTTGAAAATATATCGACCTGATATGGCGCCCACGGCTACTGCTACCATGCCATTGAAGATCATGATGCCGTCCACGCGGCCTCTTCGGGGTCTACATGTATTTAGAGATAAAGGAAGATTGTCATGAGCAACAGCAGTGCATCAATAGAGGATCTATCATTGCCAACAATGACAACAACTATACCTCATTGTTTTCTCTACTACTAGTATGCACTTGGCACTACTGTCTGAGTTTCGTCCTTTGGGATGAAGGGTGGATTGGGTGATCGCCGCTTTTCTTTTGTGTGGGCCATGATGGCAATGGTGGCGTGCCCTCTGTCAAGCTTTGAACGCACGCGCAGCTCGCGCGAAATGTAATCGAGACCTCTTTCAAGTCGAATCGAATCAGTGACGGGAGACTTTCGAATTTTTTGATATTTTGGCCTTCGGAATAGTGTGACTGGCTGGCGTTCAGGCCCAGTTTACATCGTACGAAGAAACTTTTCCACGAACAGCCACAAGACCTTCAATCTTCATTCCTCATCTCATTGCGGGGCTTCTGTTATGGTAGAAGAATAAGCAGTAGGCCCTTGATGACAACACCATGAGATCTACGAGGACGTACTTCCAGCCAGACTGTAAAAAGCAATTTCGAGTAACATTCTGGGAAAGGAAGGCAAGATGACTGCTCTTGTTGCTACCGGCCGGTCATGAACGTACACTGTAATGAACTCCTTAAGTTTTCAAATTGCTTGTTCGCAGTCCCCCATTGACGAATGGATGGTGATGATGATGCGAATTTTGAGCCACATATGAAGGGGCCGTCCAGAATCTCCATCATCCAGAGTGAGGGCTACGGTACAGTACATTATGCATGTGCCAAATACAGCCGTACAAGCTTAGTGCTAGTGGAGGGATTTTTGCTCCGTACTCTGTTGAAGAATAGGATACTGAACTCTGCCCTTTTTAACGCAGAAAGTGACATTGACCGATGTGCTTGACCTCTGGAAGTCTGCTTGCTTGGCTGCTAACTGGAGGAGAAGGAGAAAACCTGGGAGGTACCGGTATCGGACGCTAAGAAAAGAATCAGTTGGTCACACTCCGCCGATGTCCAGTTTCGTGAGCTCCCTCCTTCGCTTCGTCTCGCCTGGCCATATAGATTCAGCAGAGCAAACAAACACCATTGGGTGAAGGAAATATTTCCATCCAGCAGCCAACCGGCGAGGTCGTCCAGTTACTTCCAAGCAATAGCAGGGATGCTTGCATGCATGGCTGGTTGGGGAAACAAGCAAGTGCAGTTGCAACCAAGCACTCTTTTAGAAGTCTTTTCTAACCAAAGAAACCAAAGCAAGCAAGTACTGAGTAATGGCAATAGCTATCGTCCGCACTGTAGTTCTAGTATGGTAGCCACAAGCCACAAGATAGTACAAGACGGCATGACATAGCTGGTACACCAGGAAAGTTATTTCTGCTCGAAACAGCAAATAATACGAACTCCATGATCCCACACCGGTTTTCTCTCAACCAGCTTGTCAACCCCGCAGCTACCATTGTACACGTACCCCGTAACATCCAGTCAACAGTCAACCTGCAGAATGGTTGCACAGCTATCCCGCGTTAGAACTGCATCACCGCTGCTGCCTACATCGAGAACCCAAGTGTTTCACTTCTTCAAGCAGATGAAGCGCGCCAACAGGTTGCTCGCTGATGAACGGAAGTACCGCCTTTTTGGACGAGAAATTGTGAGGTTGAAAAGGGTACAAAGCGTGACATTCTTTACATTCTTTGCATTCTTTGGAGTGTCATTGGTTAATCCTTTCTGTTCCCCTAGAAAAAGAAGCCATCACTTACTTTTAGAATTAATTGCCTGTACTACTAGTACTGTATTAATTAATAGCATAACGGCTCGGAGTTCTTACAAGACGCAGTAACACCGATCAGTTGGGATTTATTTTCTATACTAAAACCAAAAACAGAATACGGTAATACGGTACACAATGGTCATGTATCAATCATCTCTCTCTAAATGACTCGACTCTGGCTTATTAGTCTAAGTTTCTTTGCGGAAGTGGTGGAGCAAATTCTGGCCCAAATTCTCAGGCAGGGGGATGCAGGAAATCACGTTCCACACCAGTAATATAGCAAAGCTGCAGAAAAATAATCTGGACTAGCCAGCTGTTATTTGTAATTATTAATACCAAGGATGCTTGTAGCGGGTTGATTGTTGGCTGTCGATGCTATGGCTAATACTAAGGCTGCCACTAGGATAACTACATACTACTAGATTTTAAAATAATCAAAGTCAAACTCATTGTTGATTCTATCACTCTATTATTACTCCACCTGTCAAATTGGCCGGTCCATGGTTTGGAGCACGAACGTTGCATAGCGCGGCTATAGCTCTCTAACGTACGGTACGCCCTTTTGCCCTTTTGGCATAGCTGTACCAGGTGGTGTACATGTACCTGGTACGACGCGAGCTCACGCGTCACAGGAAGCCACGCATCCATTTGCTTCTTGGCAAACTGCCTCGCCAAAACCAGCTTTTTGGAGCTCTGGTGCCTCCATGATTTAGTGGCTTTCGTGGAGTAATTAGATGGTAGCTGGTACAATGTCTCAACCTTTGTAGAGAAGGCGACGTTGACGTTTGTGTCACAACGAGCCGTCATAGTACCGATGTTTCGAAAGAGGCACTTTACTTCCTCCGAAATTTTTATGAACCTTTCAAACTTCTGCCGAAAGTACATCGGCATTTGTACTTCAACCAGGCTTTTATGTCAGATACGAGTTCGGCATCAATTGTCTGGTCATCAAAAGATACCCCAAGAATCAGTATCTAAAACGCACCGCAGCGAGCCACAGTATCTTTTACTACACCACCAGGTACAAAGTATCTGGTAGCTAGCTAACGACTCCATGACATTGTAATAGTTTGCCACTTCTCTTTCCAACCCTGAGGATTCGATTCAGAATACTGCCTTGACAGATCTATGCTGAACACACGCTTGTTGTTGCAGTTTCCAAGTAAGAACGCAAGAAGATACCCAGCCAACAGCTTGCTAGCTGCCTGCTTTAGGTACATGCTGGGTTCAAGAACCAGCAAAGAACCCACCGCAGCCAGGCAGGCCAACTATCCTTTGATAGTTATTTTCGTCTCTCGTCTCATCAGACTGAAACTGCCGCTGGATCAATTGATCTAGACTATTGGGAATCAGACAATCCTGTGTTGGACTTGCCAAGCGCCAAGGGAAAATGAGAACAAAGTTCCTTGTACAGTGTAGAGTGTACCTCTTGGCGGTCATTTGCAGCCAAGCATGCACTCGTAGTCGGATGTTTCCGGCATGACAAGCAGTCGGATCTAGCAAGATAATAATATCAGCCATGATTTCAGCTTTTGAGAGCCCCAGTGGTGTGCTTTGCTTTGGATATAGCTATCATACCTCGGAGTTTCTGATGCAATTTCCGTTGCTGGAATAGCCACCAAAGATTTCTGGGTACTAGCTAGTACATGGTGGTTGCTAGTTTTTGTGAGGATTTAGCTGGATTTTGGATTTTAGAGATCGCATCCAAAAAGATCTGAGATGACGATTGTTCTCAATTTTTGGTTTTGCTCGCCACCAAAACGAACACCACCACGTCGTTCGAATTTGGGAACAAGATCGGCCTCTTCTCAGCCCAGCAGCAGCAGAGGCCCACAATGGGTAACATCTTCCATCTTCCGATTGTTATTCCGATTGTTGGCACTAACTTGGCACTTTAGCACAGCTCCTTGGTCTTTGGCGTCGTTTCCTTCTCACCTTTGTCGACTGCGACTTCTCGAAGATAGAGGTTTTATCCGGCACATTGACTCCACATTTTGCATGTTAGTCTAGCCAGGTTGAGCACAGTAGAAGCACATCCCCACGGTATCCTCTCTGTGATCTTCTCATCCTCTCCTTCCCACACAAACACGAGGCAGAGAGTACGACATCACACAAAAGCTACCCACAAAAGCTACCCTCATTATTTTACCAACACTTATCCATCCAGCAATGATCGCCGCCACTACCCCTTCGAATAGCAAGCCCTTGGTGGTAACATCCACCGCTGATACCGATACCGATGATTGGGCCGGTGTCATTTCCAAGCTCGAAATGTCGAGTAGTGACGATGAAAGTGACTCCAGCGGGATTGATGTAGACGACTACATCGCCGGCGGAGGCAAGTTTGCGTCGGTAGTGGACGTCGATAATCTAACGTGCCGGACGGAAACGACCGCCCCCGAAGACAGTGCTTCCGACAGTGTCACGAGCTTTGGAAGTCACAGTGAAGAACAAGACGACGGACTCGCACTGTTGTTGGAAGAGGAAGAGGAAGAACCAGTTATCACTCCCACCAAGTTCCGCAAGATGCGCTCCTCCATCAAATTGGCCAGTCTACAAGAAGTTATCCCGGTCAAAGAGAAGCGAGGATCCTGGAAGCAACTGCCGAAGCCCGACATGGCCAAGCTCCAACGGGCGCAGACGTTGCCCACTTACCTAAGCAATGAAGACCAAGAGCAAGCTCCCAAGCGCGGGTCTGGTAGCAGTGTGAGCTTTCTCCACGTATGCGTTCGATCGTACGATCAGACCATTGGAGATAACCCGTCCGTCAGTTACGGGCCACCCATTTGTCTCGACTGGAAGTTTGAAGAGTTGTGTCCGGTCAGTGTCGACGACTACGAAGAAAACCGAGGGGAACGAAGACAGTTGAAGCAAATGGGATTGAGTTACTACCATCGCATGGCGATCCTGCAGAATGCCTTTGGACACTCCGAGGACGACCTGAAAAAGGCACAAAAGAGAGCCAACAGCGACAAGATGAAGCGAGAACTCACACGGTTCCTTCTGCCCATGCAAGCACTGGAAGACGTGGCGCAGTCGGCGGGACGCAAGACCAAACGATATCTGCAACGGAGACGACAGTCGTCGACGGTGTAAATGAGCAAGCGGAGAACTCTCGACGGTCTGCTGTTTGTATGCTCTACCTACTACCTTTTTGCACTGTATAGCTATCCTCCCTTTCATACTCTTTTTTGATACATATAACCATACTAATACTTTTTCAATAAAATTTAGACAAACTTGATTTGGATTCCATCGCTGGCTAAGGCGGACGTCGAATGGGAACCGGCAGGAATCCCGAAGCATGTCATGCTAGTGCAGCCGTAACGTACCGCAACCACAACTTCATTTCCATGGTTGTTCACATTCTACCATTCAAAACCAATTTCATCCAGCAGTGCTTTCCTATGAGGTGCAAGTGAACCCTTTGCATGCAGTCTGCATTGAAGTATTGTCCATGCTCGAAGAGCAGAATCAAAAACGACACCAGGGTTGGCATAGCACCACTTGAGCTGCTCATACTTCTCAAGCCAAGCTTCTTCGTGGATGTCATCGAAGTCCCATACAAAACCAAGCTCATCAAGCTTTGCTTTGCGGTGAGATAATAAGGAGCCATTTTTCTTCTGTCGCCTTTGCTCATTCACCCAAAAACCAAGTTCCTTGTTTTCTGGATCATCTCGAGGCACACGAGTGTCACCATGCTTTTCCTTGCACTTGACAAGTGCATCATATTGAGCTTCCCAAAAGTGTTCATAAGGGTCCCAGATAAAACCAAGATCCTCAAGCTTTGCTTTGCGGTCAGGTCGTGCCCGCAAGGTGCCATTTTTCATATTCCTCCTTTGGTTATCCACCCAAAAACCAAGTTCCTTGTTTTCTGGATTATCTCGAGGCACAAGTGTGTCACCATGCTCTTCCTTGTACTTGACAAGTGCATCATATTGGGCCTCCCAGGTGTGTTCTAGTGCGTCCCATACAAAACCAATCCCATCAAGCCTTTCTTTGCGGTCAGGTCGTAAGACACCATTCTTTTGTTTCTGCCTCTGTGTATCCACCCAAGAACCAAGTTTTCTGTTTTCTGGATAATCGGTTGGGACAATTGTGTCACCATGTGCTTCCTTGTACTCGACAATTGCATCATACTGGGCATCCCAAAAGTTTTCTTGTACGTCCCACACAAAACCAAGCTCATCAAGCTTTGCTTTGCGGTCAGATCGCAAAGTGTCATTCTTCTGTTTCTGCCTCTGTGTATCCACCCAAGTACCAAGTTCTTTGTTTTCTGGATATTCTCGTGGCACAAGTGAGTTGCCATGATTTTCCTTGTACTTCACAAGTGCATCATATTGGGCCTCCCATGTGTGTTCTAGCGGGTCCCATACAAAACCAAGCTCATCGAGCTTTGCTTTGCGATCAGAGCGCAACAAGGCATTCTTCATCTTCATCCTTTGGGTATTCACCCACACACCAAGTTCCTTGCTTTCTGGATAATTTTGAGGCACTAGAGTGTCACCATGCCTTGTCTTATACTCTTCGAGTTTGCCAAACACGGTCCTCCATTTCAGATCGTCCTTGTCCTTGTCCTTGTCCTTGTCCGTGCCACCGGAGGTGGACATGGACCTGAAGGCGATCAGATGCACTGCAGAACAGATCTGCCGATCGATGGAGAAAACGTTGACTTCACACCGATTAGAATGGCAATATTTCCCCTGTAGCGTCGCAGGCATTGGAGTCGCGAAGGTGCCATAGAAGCTCCTGCGGAACGCAAGAGCCGCGGGACACATTTTCAAACGAGCCCATTGTCGTGCAAGCTGCATTGCTTCAATTGGTTGGGACTCAATGGAATGTCTGATTTCGGGGGCGAGCCTCGATGTATGATATGCATACATATGACCATATGGCATAATCTAGTACCCTTTCGAAGACATTTGTTGGCGACCCAAGATCAACGATCTCGGATTTTCTTGCAAACACAACAACGGCCAGCGAGAAGGCTCCCGCGCATCAATGCAAAAGACGGCGACGGTGGACGTACTAGCTAGCTAGTAGTATGCATGTGCGTGACAGAAAATGAAGCCAGCGAGTTGTTTGCCATTCAGCCCACGACTGCGATCCTTGTCCGTGTACCTGGTTCGTGTTCTTCTGGACGCTTTTCTTTGAGGAGGAGAGGTGGTCGGGCCATCTCAGTACTGGTACATGTACTACTAGCTAGCTAGTACCAGTACTGGTACAGTCAGCCCTCGCTCTTATTTATAATCTCTTATTTATTCCCTCTATTATATTTATTAAATCTCGAGATCCCCCCCCCAGTCATGAGTGACCGTGACTGCAGTCATGAGTGACCGTGACTGCAGCAACAAATCTTTCGAGCAGCCCGACAACGTCGCACAATCCATTCCAACCGTTTCAATTTGACCGAGATGGCATGTAAAATGCCGATATAGATCCAATGGACGTGGGATTCCTCGCACCTCTGCGGTACCTCTGCACGCACCTCTCAGAGGCTGTCTCGTCGGTGCCAGCCCAAGCCCTGGTTGCTTACGTGCATTTTTGGAAGGATGGTTTTGACCAGACAAAAACAATTCTTGTGAGCTGCCAAACAATTTCACGCAAACCATACCAAAGGCTCCAATCCGACCTAGACCGGCTTTGAATATGGCTAGGGCTGCTAAGGCAGGCAAGCGAAAGCGTGATAGCTCCCTTCATTCGTACTTTACTAGCAAATAAGGCCCTAGAAAACGCTTATATTTATGCCCTCCATTATATTTATCAAAGTCCAGGATACCCCCTCATAAATAAGAGAGAGGGCTGACTGTACGGCTCCTTTGTTTCTTCTTTTTGCTTTGATTGAATCGAATCATTCGATTCGATTCCTTGAGATGCCGATCTTTCAATTTTCAACAGATACATGTAAGACATCGCGCGATCTAAGCGCGATCTTCGCGCGATCTTTTTGTGATGGCGACAGATGGTTCTTGATGCCGCCATTCGTTTCGGTTTTCTCGCAGATCCCATTTCGTTTCTCCACAATTTGCACTCTTTTTTGTTGTCCCTCTCTGAACTCCACCACCCACACTTCTACTACTACCTGGTACCAGCTAGTAATAGCAAGATAATATCAAGGAACGATGACACTACCAATGAATAAAAGAAGAAGTCTCTTGGATATTTTGGTCTCAACGGCCTTTTTGGCGTCGTTTTCTTCGAGGGTATCATCGACCATGGCCTTTATTCCGTTTTCGGCTACCCCAAAGAGCATATCCACTACTCGGACCATTCTACATTCCGTCTCCCCCGATTTATCGGCCGAAGAAGCGTTGGCTCGTACCAAGGCTCATTTGGTAAAGCTGCAACGACGCCAACCCTCCACGGACAATAACAACGAGAATAACAAGTTGCATCCCCAGCAACGGCAGAGTATTGCTCAAGAAACGCTGTATCAAGAATACATTTTGCAATCTGCCAATTCGTTAAAACAAGAACTCCAAAGTCTTCGACTCAACACCAAGGGACGAAAACCAGATTTGGCTAGACGATTGGCACAATATAAAATCCTGAAAGATACCCAAAAAGAGGATAATGGCGTGGATGTGGTAGAACAAGGATCTCTGGTGACGGATCATGATACTGATAGTGCAGCAACAACCGGCGATGTGCCATATCCCGTCTCGTTTGCGGGTATTCCACTGTCCCGAACCGCCGCCACGGCCCTACATCAAGCAGGATTCTTGAAGCAACCCAGTCCCATTCAAGCGGCTGCTATTCCGGCCATGGACCAAGGAGAATCCATCCTCTTGCACGCACCCACAGGAAGTGGAAAAACCATTGCCTACGTGCTACCCATTACCGAATTCTTGTGGCAAAGTGATCCACAATCAGACTTTTTTGCTGTGATTGCCACTCCCACTCGCGAATTGGCCGCACAAGTCGCAGGAGTCGCCAGTACGTTGGCACCACCGGGCAGTGTCCGATTGTTGTCGCATCCGTCCAATCTCATGAAAAATGGTTCCAAGGATCAAAAAGTTCGAAACGACGACACGGAGGGCATGCCACGAATTATTGTGGGAACTGCCAAGACCATTGTGCACAGTCTGTACGGCAATGAGGATTTTCCCAGTTCTCCCACACCCAAACCATTGGCCATGCAATTTCTCAAATCGGTACGAGTCTTGGTCTTGGACGAAGTCGATCGATTGTTGGCTACGAACAGCAATAGCAATAGTAAGAAACGCGGCAATTCACAACACGAACACGAAAAACCGGCTGCCATTTTGGCCGCCGCCGTGGCACGGCATACACTGGGACAATCCCAAGTGGTGGCCGCCAGTGCCACGGTTGGACGACCTCTGAAACGAGAATTGGCACGAGTGTTGGGATTGCCGCCGCCGCAGGGACCTCGGGTCATTGTGGCGCAAAGTACCATTGCCGGCAGCAACAAAGACGAAGAGGATGCTACTACCCCAACAGGTTCCTCGCGACTCGTCACCATTCCCGATACTGTAGAGCATTACATTTCGGCTGTCACCCCGAACGAAGAAGATGGCAATCACGATACCGCTTCATCGGGACAATTGCTCATTCAAGCCTATCAAGTCATTCAAGATATTGTGGCGACGGCGGCAAAAAGCAAACAACAATCGACACGCATCCTGTTGGTGTTGGCGCGAGGATTTGGAATTTCCACCCAACAAGTTATTGGAGCCTTGAAGCATTTCAACTGTCAACCAGAACCACAGTCCTTGCTGGACGCCTTGCACGAAAATGCCTTGGAAGGGACCGATCACATGATGCAAGTCCATCGAAAAGTGAGTGGTGCCACCGGTGTGGGACAGAAGTCGACCAGTGTTGCCGTGGAAGAATCCCTGTGGGTCACCGGAGAAGATACCGTGCGAGGATTGCATCTGGACGGATTGGATGCGGTCGTCCTAGTGGGAAGACCCAAAGGACCCGATGAATACACACATATTGCTGGACGGACCGGACGAGCGGGAAAATCGGGCACGGTCGTGGCTGTGGTGGCAGACACGCAAGCGCCACTCCTCCGGGCATGGGAGACGATGCTTCAGATGGAGTGGAAAGATTACGAAACAACGGACTAACTACTAGGCTTAGCGTCCTAGTAATGCCCGGGAGGGCCTGAAAGTTGCACCCAAAGGACTCGGTGCAACCAATTGATTCAAGTCTCGTTTTGCACTTCGGCACTATAACTTCAAAGCAATAGTGAAGTTGAGTGCTAAGTTTTGGTTACATTGTCTCCATAATCTTCATCCATGTGCTCTGCTTCTGGCCGTTCCCACCATTCAAAGCCAATTTCATCCAGCAATGCTTTCCTCTCTGGTTCAAGAGAACCATTTGCACAAAAAGTCCTTTGGTTTTTTGCCCACCAACGAATTGGCTTTCCCATTGCAAGCTTCTTGGCGTAACAGTGCTTCAGCTGCTCATAGTTTTCCAGCCAAGATTCTTCATAAATCTCATCACAGTCCCATGTGAATCCAATTTTGTCAAGTTTCCCTTTCCGGTCAAGTCGCAAGGTGCCCTCTTTGTTTCGCCGACGCTGATTGTGGACCCAAATGCCAAGTTCTCTGTTTTCCAGATATCCTCGACATGGGACACGTGTATGGCCATGTTCATCCTTGAACTTAGAAAGTGCAGAAAATTGAGAATCCCACAGTGCTTTCTGCTCTGGATTATCCTTTGGACTAAAACTCTTCAACCTCCAGATAAAGCCAACGGATTCTAGCATTTCCTGTCTGTCTCTCCTGAGATTGCCAGTAGTGTACATACGGCGTTGTGTTTTGACCCATCGACCCAGAGTGCCTTCTTTGATAGGAACTTTGCAGTGTCCATGAGTTGCCTTGTATTCCTTCAATTCCTCAAACATTACCACCCAATGTCTGTCCTTCCTGTCCATATCAGCCCCTGTCCACAAGAATCCAATCTCTTCCATCTGAGCGATCTGTTCCTGTGTCAACCTTCCCCTTTGTGTCCTTAAACATTGAATCCATAATGCTAGTTTGGGGTATGCTTTTGATGGTGTGGGTATGTTGACTGTGCCATGGATCTCTTTGTATTCCAGCAGTGCTGCAATATTCTGATCCCAAGTAGGATTGTTGACTGTGAGTGTGCTGAGATTGGCATCATTTTCCAAATGTGATACCGATAATGATTGCCGAGGCTTGGAAGTTGCAAAGAGAGGCACAGCAACAAAGGTGCGTTTTCTCGCATTCGCCAAGCAATGTCTCAAAGAAATAAATTGGTCCGATCCTCCCTCTCTGTTTCTTGTTCCCTGCCCTGAGGTGCATGTAGAGGGGTATTGGAAGGCGACGATACCTGGAATTTGTCTGCCAACAACAGCCAGCACAACTAGGACTGTTGGGAAAAGACCAAGTTTTCTGATCTTCCTCTTCCTGCGGTGCTTTCTGCAAGTCTCCTCGTTATCGAATACCATTCTGTAATCGTCCTTCTCTCTGTCTGTCTTCCTTATTTTGTTTTGTGACAAAGGTGGTTACTATGATAGCTTGCTCTGGATATTGGCTGGTGGAGAGGGTGTCCCGATATGGTGTCAGGTCCTGCTGTACCGGTTTTTGGATTTTGGATTTTGGACTTGGACGGGCCTGATGGGAGGTAAGATACAAGCCAGCAGAACGGTTAATGACTCAATTGTTGATTCAATCCCGCGCCTACGTCACACTGCAAATCTTTCTCCCCCCAACACGACACCTCGTCACACACGATCATTGGGAGTTTCCTGCTGATTCATTTGTCCACTCTGGCAACCGATGACTACCTTGGATGACATCTCTGTGTTTGCTTCCTGTTGTTGAGCCCAGTTCTACCTGTACTTCACAATACATTACATACAACAATATCGAGAAAAATCCAACCATGAAGATCTCGACATCCCTTATCACTTGCTTCTTGCTCTCCAGTGCTTCGGCCTTTGCACCCAAGTCCATTGTCAGTCAGAAACAGGGCAATGGTAAGTTTCATGGAAGACGAAAAAGGAATTTGAATCTGGGGAATCTCCTGGAAATCTATCTCTTGTGTGTGGAATCTCATGCTACCCTTTTTTCCTCCACTCTTGATTTTATTATTAATGACAGTGATCAGCAGTGCTGCTACCCCCACAACCGCTCTGTTTATGGCAGAAGAAACAGAAGCAGAGGAAATTGAACGTCTCGTCCAAGAGGAACTGCGCAAGACCAAGCGCATGAGTAACTTGAGAAATGAAAAGGGTGTGGATTATGCTCCCTGGATGAACATTAGTGAAGAAGATGAAAAACAAATTCGACAACTCATGGCCGAAAAGGCCGCCGCTCGTCGCAAGCGACAGGAACAAGAGCGAACCGTCTCGGGAGCCTTGCTCATGGACAGTCAAGCACAAGAGCTAAGTGGAGGTGGTCTCAAACCCAAAATTATTGGAGAAGATATCCAATTGGAATGGGCAACCAGTCGAGAAGCCAACACCAAATGCTTTAAACTCAAGCGTCGTGCCGCCAAGACTAACGATTTCCAGACTATTGCCGAATTGCCCAGTCAGGGACTCGGAGGTGGCGTGTACTCCTTTTTTGACGATCAAGCGGGACCTGGAGGTTGGGTATACCGTGTCACCGAAGTGGAAAACAATGGACGTGAAAGTGATATTTCTCAGTGTTTGGTGGAAGTGCAAACAAAGGAAGAACAACGGGGTGCTGTCATTGCGGCCGGTGGAATTGCCGTTCTGATGGCTGGATTGTTGGCGGCAGGAGTCCTCCTGGATCCCAATGGTGGATACTAAACAAGAGCTAAGAGCGCATCCAAGCACACGCACGCACACAAAATATTACACCCTATAATACACACGGATGCATCGTTTCCTGACGACGACCTTAGTTACACGAGTTAGTATACATGCCTGGTACAATCACAGTTTCGTGATCGTCTTTTCTGAATGAATCCTGAAAATTCAATTCCAGAGCCATCTATTCTATGATAGTTAGTTGGAGAGATTTTCAGTTGAGGAGCTCTTTGCCATTATTCGATTTCGATGGGAGAATGCCACATCCGGGGATACGAGAGCATAATCCGTGGTCCAAGTCATGACCGTGCAGCCAGTTACCATGTAGTAGAGAATTTAGAGACATTTGCAAGATCAGCAGCACAGTATCCCTTCTGCCAACTCGCTCCTGATGCATATCGGTAGTACCAGGTGGTTTCATTTCCTGTGCATTCACTACTTACTTTGGCTGGCCCATTCCATCGAGCAGTGGGAATGCATGCATGCCGACTGTCAGCAGCTTGCTTGCTTGCTTCAGAGCATGTTGACTAATTCCAGCTTTTGATGCCAGTCATTCCAGAAGCAGTTGCCAAATTTCCACCTCTACCTAGCTGGCTACCCAAGGGCACACATTGCCTCTCACCCACTTGACAGTCTCAAAGTGTTGTCCCATACCTGGTACTTTGCAATCAGTTTACTTTCGTCTCCAAAGGAAAGACCACGGCCAGCAGAGCTGGATAGCCCGCACAAAATCCGGGTTACTTAACACGTACGTGCCTCCAACCCTCTGCGTCACACAACGGCACTCGAGCGCTTCACTCACTCAGTGTCAAAGAAGCATCAACAAACCGATGCTGACCAAACAGGAGGACAGGAGGACACATACATGATACCATACTAGTACTGCGAGGAAAAAGCTTGCCACAATTTTAGGTGCTAGCCAGAAGATATTTTGCATCGTGGCAGTTTGAGGACATCCTTAGTGTACCGGTACACAGCTTCCAACAGACAACAATCCACTCCGAGCTTCAGTAGAATGGCAGTCTCCCACCCAAGGCGAATCAGTGCCAGTCGAAGAGTCTCCTTGGCAATACGAGCGGCCACCACGATGAGCCTGTTTGCCACACTGCTAATGGCTGCACCAAGGACAGCCCGGTCCTTTACACCCACTGGTTCGATGGCAGTAGTGACAACAACGAGAAGAACCATTCGAACCACCATGATGATGAGTGCCACCGAAGAAGCAGCTCCCGCGGCCCCTCCTGCTGCCAAGAAGATGAAACCCCGTCGTGTCCTGTCGGGAGTCCAACCCACGGGCAATCTTCATTTGGGAAACTACCTGGGGGCGATTCGCCAATGGGTGGAGTTTCAAAACACCGATCAAGTTGATGACGAAGGCAACGTTGTCCCCACAGAAAATTTCTTTTGCGTCGTGGATTTGCATGCCATTACCATGCCACAAGATCCCAAAGATTTGAAAGAATCCACATTGGCCAGTGCCGCACTCTATGTCGCTGCAGGTAAGAAACAAAAAGAAATGACAAGAAAGGAATTATCACGGAGTGATACTCCAACTTGGGAGAGGCTTCTTTTCTTGGTTGCTGATCTGATTGCTGACCTCCTTGTCACCACTCCTCTGTTTTTCTTTGATTATTATTATTTTCGGCCTGATGATCTTCAATTTTCATCTTACACAACGCAACACCACAACCACAATCACCACCACTTTTATTATTAAAAAGGAATTGACCCAAAGATATCCAACATTTTTGTCCAATCTCACGTCTCGGAACATGCCGAACTGACCTGGCTACTCAACTGCATGACACCCATGAATTGGCTCGAACGAATGATTCAGTTCAAAGAAAAGGCACGCAAACAGGGAGAATCGGTCGGTGTTGGACTCTTTGACTATCCCGTACTCATGGCGGCCGATATTCTACTCTATCAAGCCCAAAAGATTCCCGTCGGTGAAGATCAACGACAGCATTTGGAATTGGCGCGGGATATTGTCCGACGATTTCACGATCTCTACTGCAAGGGCAATCAGTACAAGAAACGATGCAAAGCCGCCGGCATTCCCTCACGACAACCCTTTGTAGAACCCGAAGCCATGATTGTCAAGGAAGGAGCCCGCATCATGAGTTTGACGGATGGAGCGTCCAAAATGTCCAAGAGTGATGCCAATGATGGCTCGCGGATCAATGTGTTGGATCCACCCAAGGTGATTCGCGACAAGATTAAGCGGTGCAAGACCGACGACATTCGCGGTCTCGAATGGGACAATCCGGAACGACCCGAAGCGACCAATCTCCTCAACATTTATCTCGCCGTGCAACCGGATCGAACCAAGGAAGATATTGTGGAAGAAGTCAAAGACATGAACTGGGGTGAATTCAAACCCCTCTTGGGCGATGCCATTGTGGCACACTTGGAACCCATTCAAACGCGATACCACGAAATCCGAGCCGATGAAGAATACTTGAACTCTGTCTTGAACGATGGAGCCGCGGCGGCGCGGGGCATTGCGGCACAAACACTCAAGGCCGCGCAAGTTGCCATGGGATTTGCCACCAAGGCATAACCAGCTACCGTAGCTAGTGAAAGAAACGATAAAATCCAACAACAACTCACACTACATGTAGTAAACCTAGCTAGCTAGGATTCTTCTGATCTTTCGGGGCACAAAGAATCTTCAATCGAATCGTTCGTTCGTTCGTTCGTTCTCAAGGTGGAAACGACTCCTCAGTTCCTTTTCCTTGTCTTGAGAGATGTAAGCGCATCGTTCATCTGGGCCTGTGAGGGCATTCCTCCTTTTTCGGCAGCCTTTCCAGTCCGGGGACCTTCTCCCGGAACCGTCACATTTTCCTTTTTTTGATGTATAATTCAGACATCACCCGCGTTGTCCATCTGGTGGGTATTATTGGAAACTACAGCGTCCTCTTCTGGTTCGACATCAAGAAGTGGAATGTTGTAAAATGGGAGACGTTCCTCCATCATTCGCGAAACCAAGTGGCGCTGAAGTTTCCGCTGGGTCTTTGGGTTTCCAAACGCGAGTGCTTCCTTGACAGCCGAATGCTCCCAAACCTTTTTCTGGACTCGTTTTCGCATCGCTTCGATATCTTCTGGAGACTCATGCAAGAGCACATACATACCGGTAGGTGGTACCTCGGTTCCAGGGAGAAGAACGGCATGTCGTGGGACTCCACGAGGTCGGCACCATTTTTTGAAAAAACCTACTGAATCAAGTTGCTGATCGTAGTCAAATCCTCCCAAACTTTCAATGTAGTATTTCGTGGAGTTTGCAATGTAGCATTTACCAGCACGGAGCAAAAAATCTTGCAGCACACTATCTGGGACTGCCAGGCGCAACATGAAGGGCCACAGGTCTGTGAACTGCCGTTCCACAAAGCCTTGAGCTCGGAAGGCCACATATGCTTCGCACATGTAAGATGTGATTTGTAGCTCTACCAGAGCATTGCTGTCGACATCCAAACATCCACGACAGAAGGATCCGCCGGTGGATCCACCATCCGAGTCGTCATTGCCGACTTTCAAACCGAGAAGAGACGCCAAATTGTCATAAATCAGGTTCGCAGGAAAGGCAAATGAACACTTGATGTCACTTCCCCCCAAGACGGGAACACGGACAATAGAGCAACCCTCTGGCAGCCATGAAGGTTGCCAGTCCTCGTCATTGGTGGCGGCGTCAAGTTGTGGTGGTTTCATGTTGTTGTTCTTCTCGGACTCTTGGCTTGGGGCATCTGACGACACGTTCTCCTTCTTGACCTTTTTGGTTGGTGGTTCCATGCTGTTGCTCATGGCTTGGGTTGCTGGCGTACGCTCCATGGTGTTGCTTGCCTGTCACAGGCTCGTCGTCGCACGAATTGTGACGAGTGAAAAGGAAAAATGGGAGGGCGGAGCACGAAGTACCGGTACGGAAAGTTTAACGCGAAGCTTGACGTAGCTAGTTAAGAAACATTTGGGGTTCTCAACATTACGGGAAGCTGGTGGCCTTCGACTGAGGCGTAGCATGAACTCAACCTGCATGAATAGCTGCCTGTCTCAGTTGACAGTTGAGGCCAGATCTTGTGCTTACCGGTAGCTGTAAGCAGTGTAAGCAAGCCAGCTCGTGGTAACTCTCTCACTATTAATAGTTATATGATCGTTGGTTCATGTCTACTATTTCGCTAGATAGTTTAGGTATCTGGGCAACGGTTGCAATCACATCCACAGAGATGAGTCCCAAAGCAGACTGTTCTGTTCGATCCCATGTTGTAAACAGAGCAGGTTGTTATGTTCTTTTTGCCCGAGCAATCAAGCCTTTGCTCGTGCATTTTGTCACATAATTGTACAGGAATGCTGCCAGACAATGATGTGTTTCTGAGTGCTAAGAATTTCAAATTTTTCAGAGCAAGTAGCTCTGTGGGCAGTGTGCCAGATAGAGCAGTAGTTTGTAGCCCTAGATTCTTCAGGTTAGAGGCTAGACCAACTTCCGAGGGAATAGAACCTCCAAACTGATTGTTGTTTAGTTGCAAGAAGTGCAACTGTGTAAGTTTAGAAAAGAGAACTGGTGGTAGTGTGCTCTGCAACTGATTCGAGCCAACATCGATGTAGGTCAGGTCTGAGAAAAGAAAAGCACAGGTGCATTCTGATGGCATGAGTCAAATCAAGGTTGACTCAGCACAGCACTATGTTTCTGAACTCACCAGTCAATTCAAAGACCTCACGTGGCAAAATTCCAGAGATTGAGTTCCCGTGCAAGTCCAGAGAGGCCTGTTGATATGTATATGCAAGATCAGCGTACTTGCATAACGTAACGTATTCAAAGTCATTTATATTTGCTCGAACCTTGCTTACCAGCTTTGTCAACTGCCCAAGCTCAGTCGGGATAGTGCCCTGAATTATCCAGTCCTCCAAACTGAGGCGTCTCAGTTCTGTCAGCTTGCCAAGTTCAGCTGTATCAAAAGGAGTCTAGAAGGTGAGTCCAAACAAGCCACCCTTCCACATGTCATGCTAGAATGAATTCTTACATGGAATTGACATTACTGCCCCACTGCTTCGGCTTGATAGTCCAAGTATACGAAGCTGCATTGCGTTGCGAATGACTTCTTGAAGGATGTTTTCAGTTTCCAGCCCAGGGCACTCATCAATTGATAGAGACTGTAGGCCAGGCAATCTGTAAAGCTCACCTGGTACTGAACCTAGAATGAACGACAGGATCAGGTTTCCAATCTGCTGGCCAAACCGAAACAAAGCACACATACCTGTTAGATCATTTCTCCCCACAAACAACGTGGATAACTTGCAAAGTCGTCCAATCTCAGAAGGAATATGCCCATGAATTGGTGTCATATAAAGTTGAAGGAGCTGGAGACTCTGCAGTTTACCAAACTCAGTTGGAAATGAGCCAGCAATGTTTGTTGCACTCAAAGCTAATCGAGTCAATTTTGTCAGAAGTCCAAACTCGGTGGGGATGGGTCCCATGAGTTGTAATTGCCGATTAAGTACAAATACCTCAAACCTTTCCCCCAGCAAGGAAATCTCCGGAGGAAGCGTTCCTTCCATGTTATTGGCATACCAAAACAACAATGCCCTGATTTCCCCATTGGCATTACAGTTCACTTCTGGAGGGAACTTTTGGCCCATGTTTACAGGTAATTGTTCCCAATAGCATTCATTGGTCTCCCAGTCCAACCATTCTTGCTTCTTCACCCAATAGTCTCCTCTTGTAGAATAATAGAATGTGGCCAGAGCAAATCTTTGTTTTAGTCTCCAGTTTGGTAGATCCTGAAGAGTGGAAGTTTTATTGTTGATGTTTTGGATCAGCCATTGATAGGCCTTGGACTGAGGAGACTGTGCTCGTTCCATAGCTGATAGGGTATAGTCTGGTAGTGATTCCAAAAAAGTTGTTGGTGCCATTGTTGGCATTGTTGTCAATTATGGCATGCTTGGAGGCATTTCAATGACAGTTGGTTGACTGGAGTTGCTGCTGGTGTGTCCTCCATTGGACACTGCCAAAAATATCAGGAGTACAGGATGACTTCTTTCACCACTGACAGGTGTCAAAATGGATTCTCGTTTTGGCCAAACCAAAATTGGAAGCAGTCATTTCTAACAAAAAGGGTCATTTCGCAAATCCTGCATAGCAATGACTACTTCCTAGAAAGAAAAGATTGAAGAAAATAAAATGAATGTTACCACCATGGCAACAGTGTTGACCAAATGGCCATTAGGTCTACGAATACATTGTTCTGGCCTATCCGGTCAGAGGACTAGCTCCCCAACACACTCACATGCACTCTACTTGAGCCGGATAGGCCATCTCCAAAGTTTGCCATTGAGTCTCTATGAAAAATCAGGCTTGGATTCCATTTTGTTGTCATTCTGCCATGCATTTCTCCATGGGAAAGGTGCTCCTGTCCTCACTCTCAGCACCCACAACCTGCACTGTAGAGTCTGGTAGAGGAGTGGGTGGCTCTGCATGAAGACTGAAGCACATTCAAAAGAGATTGTTGGCTCAACCAAGGCCAAAATTGTGCAGATTTCACATTTGTTTTCAGTCGATTGCTCGAAGCAGTAGTAGAGAAGCTGCCGCTTGTTGCATTAGTAGTAGCACAGCCGAGGCACACGGCCGTGGCTCCGCGGAAGAGGAGGTGTCATGGTCGCTCCGGATGCTCTGGAATGAGGCTTCCGTGGAAGAGCTAGTCATCGGCCGATCAATCCGGCGAACGGGCTCCGTAGAAGTCATCGGCCGATCGATCCGTCGAACGGAAGCAGTTCCTTCCACTGCAGTGCCATTGTCGAGGCTTTGCTTGTTGTTTCCGTTACCAGTGCCATTGTCGAGGCGTCGCTTGTTGTTGTGGTCGCCCCGTGAAGGGGCTTCGTGAAAGAGGAGGCGTCATCGTCGATCGCTCCGTGGAAGAAAGAAGTCACGACCGATCGTCGAACGGCTGCCGCTGCCGCTACCAACTAACCAAGAGGAGCCTGTCATGGTGGTGAGAAGTAGCCTTTGTTAAGAGGAGTAGCCGCTATAGAGGAGTAGCATCATCTTGATAGAGTCAATAGAGAGTAAAGATAGAGGTATCGAAATAATGAAGAGGACCATATTTCCGTGCGCGAGTGGCTTGGATCGATCAATTCCGAGTGATGTCAGTTGAGTTTAGGGTTGAGGCTAATATGATCCCTTTAAATCTTTTCGAGAAACGTTCCAAGAGGTTCCGGTTCGCATTGGATGTCTTACCGGGAGCGGGCTTGCGTTTGTCTCGATAGTTTAGATTCAGCCTGTATTACCATGACTGCCAAGAGGACAACATTGACTTCCAACGAAAGTACACGAAGTAACCTTTGTCTCCAGTACTTTTTTGATCTGCGGTTGGGTATTCGTGGCTCTGTACCAGTACTGCCACTCTCCAGCAGGTGAGTTTCTTGATTGTCATTTTCCACAACGGCTGCCTCAGTGAAATCTGACCGAAGATTGCTTTCTGTGTGGTCTCCATGATGGAAGCCGAAAGAATTTGGATTTCTCGAAAATCCACCAGACACATACTGAGCCCCAGGGACGCTTGTCGGTGCCGGCACTGTCGTTGTAGGGAGCGGTGTTGGGAGAGATACTATATCGTGAAATATTGTTGGCAGCATATTTAAGAGGGGTGAAACTATTGTGTTTTCTTGTTCCGGTGTGGGAATCATGATGGTGCGCGTGGTTGCGTTTTCTTGTTCCTGTTTGGGAATGCCGATGGCTGGGGTCCTGGAGTTGTCAGTTAGTATTTCCACCAGCTCAACACTACCCTTTCCGTCAATCCCTTGGGTGTCCATTTCCACTGTGGCAGCATCCAAACCGGTCATGTTCCCAGCGTCTGAGGTATAATCAATACTACAACTTTCTGTTTTCGCTGCTCTCCAACCTCTCTAGCTACCCGCCAGCTACATGTATTAGCTAGCAGGAAGATAGCCGTAGCTGACACGACTCTCCTCAGCGGTCATGGTGGTGGTTGTGTTCAGAAAAGTCGAGATCCAAGTCGAAAGAGAAGTCCATGCCAGACTAATATGTTGGGGGGGGGGGTGCTGGTACTACGGGGGCAATAGGCTTGGCTTTGCCAGATCCACGGATACATAAATGGGTACTTACGCTGTACACAAGGGCAATGAGTTCGGGTCTGCAGGAAGAAACATTTGAGAGTATGAGAACTGAGTTTTGTTGGCAGTGACAGAAACAAGGTGTTAGAAAAGAGCCTTGGCTTGGGCGGCAATTAGACTATGCCATCCACAGAAACAACAAAGAGATGGAAGGAGGCTCCCAATTGGATTGGAGTGCGGCTATACTTTGAAATATTGCTGCGTTCTTGTTTAGTGAAAAGTTTAGCGGATCTTTGTCCCTGGAGGAGGCACAGTCCAAATCAGTGACACGTACATCAATAATAGCAGTACTGCCAGCACGTTCGAACAAGCCGCTAATGGAATGATCACCGCATAAGAGCTCAGGGGCTGGAGGTGGGTTGAGAGGGGGGAGGAAGGGGGGTAAGGTGGAAATAGGGTGACCTGCAGGGATCGTGGGGGCTGGAACGGATGGAAGGGGTGAATCCTAATGAACACCAGAGGAACCAAAGCATTCCCACACTATTAATAGAACCAAGTTCATTAATTACGGATTTCATTATGGCATGGGATTAAACCACCGCCATTGCAATCCAGAGCATGGGGAACACTGAAGGGACCAGTACATCCATCCCAGAAAGGGAGAACTAGCTGGCGCTCAGATGGGGCATGTGATGAACCCCAACCCATCCGAGATACGTAGACTGATTTCATTCTACATGTAGCTGCAAAATAAGCCCAGGCACAAGAGGATGCAACATACCGGTAGCTACTAGCTAGGATTTTAAGTTGTGTCTCAGTGCAGAAGCATTTTGGAGCGCGTTTTGCAACCACACCGCAACCACCACATCCTTTCCTGGCGTTAAGAAGCAACAGAGTTCAAAGCAATGAGAGTGCTCGGTCTATTGAGCCTCAGCAGAGATCCAGTACGATCGTATGGCATTGACCCTCTCTTTGAGTCTCGGGTACAGTAGCCTGACTGCGGCAGGTTTCCAGTCACTGTTGCAGCCCAGTCCATGAAGAAGTGAGCAGTGAGAGCCCTCCTGCACTCCGCATTGCTTCCCGGCTAGCTAGTAAGCCTTGCGTTCAATAGTTTTGTAGTCATGCAACATCAGTGTCATCCGTCCTCGTTCTTTCGGGCATTGGAAACCGTGGTCCCATCTCCTGCTTCCTCCTCGTCTTCTTGCTTTGGCTCACCGACGGCTTCTAGAATCGGAATGTTATAGTACGGAAGACGTTCTTCCATCATCAATCCAATCACATAGTGTCGGAGAGACTCAATGGTATCGCTATTGCGTCCTCTTCCAGACTGCATGGCGTTTTGTACAGCATCCAGTTTCCAGACTTCTCTCTGCAGTCGCTTTTGTAGGGCTTCAGTTTGCTCGGGCGTTTGATGCAAACGAACAAATTTCTTGGAGGGATATGGAGGTCGATCTGTCAGGGGAATTAGAATGGCATCAAAAGGAACACGATCAATTGGCCAGATCCATTCTGCAAAGAAGCCAACTACATCAGTGTGTTGGCCATAGTCATGTCGCCCCAGGCTTTGAATGTAAGAACGAACTGCAAACTTGATGTTAGACTTTCCAACATCCAGTTGGTACCGTTGCATCAACTCATCTGGGGCTGCAAGGCGTAGCAAAAATTCAGAGAGGTCGGTGAAAATACCTTCCACAAAGCCCATGCGGCAGAAGTACACGTATGCACAACACATTTGGTCTGTGATTTGAAGATCCACCAAAGCATTGCTTTCAACCTCTAGGCACCCACCATGACAAGGTTGACTTTCACAACCAGATGTGGAATCAGCTGTCCACGGATTGAGCTTTAGCCCAAGCAGACATGCAAGATTGTCATAGACCAGGGTGGCAGGAAAAGCAAACAACTTTTTCAGACCTTCCTTTCCCAACACAGGAACACGTACAACAGAACAACCCTTGGGCAACCAGGAAGGTTGACGTTGTTCATCATCAGCGCCTTCCTTCGTCTCTTCGGTTAATGATACCGTGTTGTCTGTCTTGGCCTTTTTCGCTTGAGGCTCCATGTCGCTGTTGCTGTTACGGATGTTTTTGCTTGCGGACGAACGCTCCATGGTGACGATGGTTCGTTGTTGATTTTAATGGTTTATGGTTGGATGATGTTGTTGCTAAGCGCTCCGTCCTTTTGTTCGTTTGCCGGACGGAGTCTCTCGTGGATGTAAAAGTGAGAAATGGGAAACTGGTACGGATAACAGTCCCAAAAAGAAAAAAATGCTGACCGTGGAAGTTTGAAGGGCGCCAGAGCTGGTGGTGCCAGCTAGTCTAGAAACAACTACCGGTACCAACTATCGCTACCCCCGAGCCGCATGTTGTTCCGGTCTCAATGTCTTGCTTTCTAATGATCGCAGTGGACGAACGATTAGAGATGTTACGTTTTGCTAGCTAGCTGCGGTAGACATCAATACCAATGCTTCATACATCGTACGGAAGTCATGGACAAATACCGTGGGTAGCCATAATCCGCCGGTTGGCTTTTGTGAAAATGCACAAACGGTGTCATGCAATCCCGGGCCGTCCTCCTTCTCCGAAATTAACAATGACTCTAGAATATGGGGTTGGTTGAGCAACCAACATGCGGTCGCAGAGACATACTGTCGTATGCAGTTGGGATTCCGTAGTTAGCTGTCAGCCGCAGAGCGTGCTCTTCAGCATTGCTCGAGTCGCTTTGGCTGTAGCTAGCTAGGGTTTCTTGCCGAAGCTATGACATCCGTGCCAATCAAGTTAGCTACATTATCATTCTATCCTCTCAAAAGATAGATGATGAGACTGCGCCCCTTCCTGGCTTGTCGCTGCCAAGCAGCTGAGCCTTACGATCCCGCTGGGGATGTCTCAGTATCAAGTCAATCACACACTCTCTCTTCTCCCAAGTCTCGATTCCTGGGTCTGCACCGGTACACCTTGAAGCCTTGCCCTAATAAGTTTGTCTCCTCCTATTCCACAAAGCTTGGTCTGCTGGTGGCTTCGTACTAGTACGCTCCGGGGGATAATCCGCTACTATAGCTATGATGCCGATAGCTCTCTCCATCGTCGTGCTGTCTGACTACTAGTACCGATAACCCGTCAACAATCGCAGGAATCCATGTCCTCCATCCTCAGGCAGTTCCTTTGCCACTCTGCAGCTTTCCAATCAGAATTGTGTCTTTGAGTTGTCTCGGAATAATTCTTTGTCTCTTCCTGTGACATGCAGCTTCAAGGAGAAAGAATGCTTTGGGCTGCTCACAAAACCACGTCGTCACCAGATATCTTTTGACTCTTTTTTCTTTCGCCGTTGTTCTGCACGCAACTTGCACGCAGCAAGTCGAGAAGACTTGACTCGACTCTCTTCGTTTGGCAACCTCTTCATTATTATACATACATCCACTCTCTCCTATTTGCTATTGGAATAGACTTGCTTGACTCTACTATACATTCATACTGTACTAACTTTCATAATGATGATGTCTACCCAACAACCACTGCTACTGATCTTGGCCCTCGTCATTGCTACCACAATGGCATTCCTTCCCACCACACCTCTTTATCATCATGCCCGAGTATCGGCATTGCAAGAGAGTTGGGATGGTAACAACAACAATAGCAATAAGAATGGTGTGGGCGCCATTGAACAGATTCAATTCAAGATCTATCCCGACGGACGCGTCGAAGAGACGGTCCGAGGAGTCAAGGGTGGCAACTGCCAAAAAGTAACCGAGAAAATCAACGAACAACTCGGCAAAGTCGTCGATTCGGCACCCACGGAAGAAATGTTTGAACAAGAAGTCGAAATTGATCAAACATTGACCAATACCGATGGCGGTAGCGGTAGTTGGGAAGGAAGTTCCAGTTGGTAAACTTCGAATGACTGTACCAACAAAAAGAAGGAAATGAAATGCCAGCAGAGGAAGAGGAATTATGGAATATTAGACGAGTGGGTGCATGGATGAAACGAATTGTGGAACTAATGAATGGAGGTGGAACAAGAAGAAGAAATGGATCGTATGGGAGCTGTACTGTATGATTGTGCGTCCTGTGGTTGGCGGTGTTTCTGGGAGGAAAGAAGAACGGCAGTTATGATAGTCATGCAATCAATCAATCAACACGGGCAAATTAACGAAGTCCTGACACTTGCTGTCCAAGGATGATGCGCCTTCCCCTTGCTATAGAGAACGAATATACCCACTTTTTTGGTGCCCATCGCTGTCTGTGATTGGTTGCATGCCTGGCTGGTCCATTCCAACAATCTGGGAGGCTTTTTGTTGTAGGGGTTACTGTGTGGGTACTAGCTACCGTAGGACCGTAGCTGGCCAGATTGGATGTTGATTGATCCTTCGTTGGGGGCAAAGTTGGGGGCATGTCTTCCTCCTTTGAGTTCAGTTCTTTGGGCTCTTGTCCAGCTGGATAGCGGGCTACTCAAGACAAGACAGCGTTCCGTCTGTTCCGTCTGTTTGTGCTCGAGCTTGCCGACTTGCTAGCACGGCACAAGCAAAAGACGCATAGACGACGCGAGACTTCTACATGTACAGTATCCAAACTACCACTACTGGGCCCCGAGTTGGGCACGAGAGGGTGTCTCGACAATCGTGTGGTTTGGTGCCTGCGAGGAATCGAATAAAATCAAAAGATCATCTGCAGTTCCCTGGTGACTTCCAACAGGAGGTCGTTCCGTAAGCAATCCATGGTAATTGCTTGACAATACTTCCTAGCTAGAAAGTAGCAGTGCTAACACACATATACACACGTTACATGAGCCTGGTTTAGACTATCAACGGGCACTGGCTCTGCTGGCACCAAATCAATAGCAGGTCGTGCCCATTCTAATCTTGCGTGTCCTCCCCAGCTCAAAGACCATCCAATCGGCATCTCTTGTGTCATTCTTTCTCTAGCCGCCACCCACTGCCAATTTCTTACTTACTACATTGTCGTCAACTTCTCCTTTAGAAAAGCATTCTGCCTTCCTCCTCGTCGGATGTGGCAGTTTCCGAGTCGTGATCAGTGTCGTCCACATCCTTTTGAACCAGACGCTGGAACTTCACCTCCTCATCTTCTTCCAAAACCCTGCGCATAGCACCTGCACAAGCCACATGGACCGAGTACAGCATGATGGTAACGGCAAGAATGATGGCGGTAACCACTTTGGCCACATGGTAGTCCGGGTCGTCCGCATAACTTGGATTGGCATAATGTTTGGCATACCACGAGGAAATCCAATGAGGAGAATTGGGACCATCCCATGCAATCAAGAAGAAGATCAATGTGGCCTCCACAGGACGCCCCATCAGTCGACACAATGCACCAACTATATGTGCATTCCGGTAGAGAGCATGGAGTGCCATGTAAACTTGACCTGCATCTGTATCCATGCCCATGCCAGCATGACCTTGAAACATGATGTAAAAGCAGAAAGGAGGGAACGCTCCATGAATGTGTGTCTTGATTCCTTGGTTGGCCAGTAAAATGGCAGTGAACCCAGAGAAGGCCCATATGAGCAGAATGCCTTCATGGTCATAGTCTTCACTGCATGATGTATGTAGACAAAGGCAGGAAAGGAATGCACATGTTAGGCAATGAATTCTGTCCAGTTTGCAGGTTTTTGCAGGTCTGGCTTCTTAACTCACGCAGTTAGTCCTTTTGATTGTAGCAACACATGGATCAGATGCAATGGGATGTAGACCAACACACCAAAGATGAGGAGGATTGTTCCTTCGTACTTTTGGTGGTACAGGGTTGGATTTTCCCACCCCTTTGGAAGCACAAACAGGGGAAGACCCACAAGAGGCCCATAGACCAGAATCCCCCCCACCAAGTAGTGACCAAGTTCCCAATCAAAGAAGGATTTGTCTTCTTTGGCATTGGATACAGACCATAAAAACGCCACCGGGATTGAATAAACGGAAAATGCATGAGCACTGACTGACCAAATGCGGTACAAGTGTCTTCCCATGTGATGGGTGCGCATCGATTTGGCTTGGTCTTCTCTGAGAATGAGTTCCATTCCAGGTGGAAAACGTCCTGACAACAGTAGGAATCCGGACCCAAAAATAGCAGTGGTAACTCCAAACCAGAAATAGGCGGAATGTCCAGCCAACATCAGCAGGACAACCGCAGCCGTCAGCAAACCCCAAGCGATTGTGTTCGTGGTGGAACCTGCAGGTCTATAGCCAACCCAAAGTTCCATGGCAATAACAGCCACCCAGGCCAAGAAAGCAAAGGAATCAATCGCCATGGTGAAACAACTCCAGGCAGTTCTGAGATTGGATGGAAACACTCAATATTATGGCTTTTAGCTCAGGTTGCTTCTCATCAATTGTAGACCGAGTCAACGAAAGAAGTTCGGTAGCAGGTCTGGCTATTTGTAGCTACAGTACCGGCCATGCAAGCGGTAGCTTCAGCGAAAGAAACCAGCCACTGGCTACTTGTAGCTACAGTACTGGTCACGCAAGCGGTAGCATCAACAAAAGAAACCCAGTAGCCGGTCTGGCTATTAGCCATGCAAGCGGTAGCCATATCGACTTGCGTGAGCTTGAAACGCTATCGCGGTGTATTCCAAGCACAACATGAGCTTAGAATACGTAGGCGAAGAAGCTGTTTCATTCCCGAGCGCTTCGATAGACTCTTGTATCCAAGGTGAAGCCCCTCGTCTATCTTGGCTACTGGGTCGGTGTGTTATGCCGTTGGTGGAAGACCCCCCCGCTCGACGTGTTCCATCCTTTCACATCGCACATCGCACATGGTGCTGCAGGAAGCTCTCTTTGGAAGCACCCTTTAGCCTTTGTTTGCAAGACACAAATGATCGATCTTAAGCCCCTAGCTAGCCAGTAGAATGCAGTTGTTGGTCACTTTCCCCCCTCCCATGTTCATGAGATGTACTCTCTCTGCTGCTGCGGTATTGCCTCCGGGGGCCGCAAATACGCACAGACTTAATTTTGTTTTGGTCTTGGCTTCTCTTCCATTTGCTAAGGGGTCGGGGAACCGGGAATTCCGGTTTCCCTCGAAGATACCAGTGCTATGGTACATTTACCAGTACCAGTCGTGCCATGATCGGTGCGGCTCGTGGTAGCGGTCGATCTTTGTATCCATACTGTACGGAACTACAGAACCACAGCTTTGTGGAAAGGAGATTGTGGGCTGTTGTCGTAGAGGAGAGAGGAGAGACAGGTGAAACATTGTCCACTGTTAGTGGGGGAGCTGACAAGAGGCAGGCGACAATGTAGAAGGAGGCTGGAATGCTGGAATCCAGCTGCTGCATTCCCTCTGTGCTCGATCACCAGGCGACATTGTCGAAGTTGAATACACACAGCGTCGAATGGCAACTGCGATGTCGTTGTACAATGGGGTTGGCTCGACTGGCCGACTGGCGGGACCACCCAAGCACAGCCCTATCTTGGCATACCCATACCTGCTGCAAGAGCGCCGAAGGCCGGATGTCATTGAAGAGTCACTGCACAAACAACCGGAGCAGCAACCCTGCCAACGTGCAGCAAAAGCAAGCATAATCTCTTCATTCCACAGAACAAGGCAATGGCGGTTGCTTGCATTTGCCTCAGGGAGGGGCAACCAGTAAAGCCAACTCCTATTACTCCAGTGTAATGGTAGGGAACACAATCATCTGCTGACAAAAGAGCCGAAGTAGGCTTCAATGGTGTCGGTTGACCAAAGTCCAACAGGAATTAATAGAAAAACCCAACATCGCTCCCCTTGCACCGAGGCAAACTATGGCCTGCAACCATGCACGAATTGCTCGACTGATTGTCCTAGCTAGTAGTAATAGAGTTAGTTTGTGGGTTGGGAACCATGGTCAATGGAGTTGTGGGAATATGCTTTTTCGAGCACCAACTAACTGGAATCTTCCACTTCGAGTCCTGTTTTGAAATCCAGAAAGCTACCAAAGAAAATGTTGAAACCTGGCTGCATCCCTCCTACTCACTTGACAAAAATCGTTCTGTTGTCCTCTTCATCAGATGTATTGGAGTCTAGCACAGTGTCCACATCCTTTTGACCCAAAGGCTGAAACTCCACCTCCTCGTCTTCATCCAAAACACTGCGCATAGCACCTGCACAAGCCACATGGACCGAGTACAGCATGATAGTAACGGCAAGCAGGACGGAGGTAACCACTTTGGCCACATGGTAGTCCGGGTCATCGGCATAACTTGGATTGGCAAAATGTTTGGCATACCATGTGGAAATCCAATAGGGAGCATTGGGACCATCCCATGCAATCAAGAAGAAGATCAATGTGGCCTCCACAGGACGGCCCATCAGTCGACACAATGCACCAACTATATGTGCATTCCGGAATAGAGTGTGGAGCGCCATGTAAACTTGACCTGCATCTGTATCCATGCCCATTCCAGCATGACCTTGAAGCATGAGGTAAATGCAGAAAGGAGGGAATGCTCCGTGAATGTCTGTCTTGATTCCCTGGTTGGCCAGTAAAATGGCAGCCAACCCAGAGAAGCCCCATATGAGTAGAATATTTTCATGGTCATAGTCCTCACTGAATGATTATGTATGCAAAGAAGCAAAGAAGATAATGTTAGGCACTGAATTCTGTCCAGTTTGAACGATTTTGCAGGTTCTTGACTCACGCAGTTAGCCCTTTTGGGGCCAGCAACACGTGGACCAGATGCAATGGAATGTAAACCGAAACACCAAAAATGAAGAGGATTGTTCCTTCGTACTTTTGGTGATACAGGGTTGGATTTTCCCACCCCTTTGGAAGCACAAACAGGGGAAGACCCACCAGTGGCCCGTAGATCAGAATTCCTGCCACCAAGTAGTGAGCAATTTCATATCCAAAGTAGTCCTTGTCTTCTTTGGCATTGGACACAGACCATAAAAAGGCAACCGGGATGGAATAAATGGGAATGGCATGAGCACTGACTGACCAAATGCGGTACAAGTGTCTTCCCATGTGATGGGTGCGAATTGCTTTGGCTTGGTCTTGACTGAGAATGAGATCCATTCCAGGTAGAAAACGCCCGGACAACAGCAGGAGTCCGGATCCAAACATAGCAGTGGTAACTCCAAACCAGAAATAGGTGGAATGCCCAGCCAACACTAGCAAGATGACCGCAGCTGCCAGCAAACCCCAAGCGATTGTGTTTGTGGTGGAACCTGCAGGTCTGTGGCCAACCCAAAGTTCCATGGCTATAACGGCTACCCAGGCCAAGAAAGCAAAGGAATCAATCACCATGGTGAAAGGCACGGGTACCGACTCCAGGCGGGAAAACGTAGGATGGTCTTAGGATAGACAAGTGCACACGGTGATCGGTGGCAAAACAAGTGAAAAATGGACCCGAAAAGTTTTGGAGCAACTTTAGCACACGGCTCATAACATGAGAGACCTTCGATGAGGACCATCGATAAAATAAATGTGTGGCACCGGTACATGTATGTAGTCAAAGAATTGAGTGTTCGTGCAGCTTCGAAAAATTCCAGGTTTACCTTTCTTGTAAGATATTATTGCACATCCACAGGTTCTGTTAATAACACATACTAACTAGTACTGTTTTGGTACGAGACTGCTGGCACTATTCTTTGAGAGAAAGCGACGATAGTGGTCACAGTGAGTGTTACCGTAGACAATGTACTTTTATTTAGTAGGAACCTTTGCTGGTTTTCTTTCCACTACCAGATACCGACCTGTTCTTTCCACTACCGACCTCTACTAGCTAGCTAGCTAGCTAGCTAGCTCTAGAGGTTCAATTCTTTGAGTAACAGGTTCTTTGAAAGATGCCACGCTGCGTCAATGGCTCATTTTCAAGTAGCTCAGGGCTACCGGTAAGTGTTTCTACCTGGTCGCTCAGGACCAAGGACCAGGATAGACCAATGCCGACCGGGAGCTTAAGTGCTTGTATCCAAGGTAAAGAAGGTAGTAAACTTCACAACGCTGTCAGATAAATAATTGAACTTTTCGGCATCAACGACATGCAAAAGTTCGGCATCAACGACATGCAAAAGCTCGTGAATATGTTTTTCGGAAATAAGGACAGTGCTTTGGTCGGAGCCAATGCAAAAGCTAAAAGCGTACTAGTACAAGCGTACAAGAGCTCGTACAAGCCAACTCGGAGTACAGCGTAGTAGGAACCGGTACTCAGTAGAGTGGCCACCGGTACGATGTTCGAGTACTGTACAATTGGATGCAACTGGCTAGACTACAATGCACTGAGCACTTTATGCACTGAGCACTGAGTACGTTGGTTGGACGGTTCGACCACTTGGTCCTTGGACGTCCACAATTTTGTTGCGAACGACCCGCGAGGAGCCTGAGTGGGATGTGTGGGGAGGGAGTTCCATACCAGTCAATTTTCTTTTGTGTCTCTTGCTTTGGCCATGGCATCAGGTTGGGCTTGGACACTTTTTTTTTAAAATGACAAAGAGCAGGGTGGGAGATATGAAGAAGTGTCCCCTTTGGTGAAGTGCTGTGCGTGAGTTTTGTGGGGTGTGTGCGTGTGTGTAGACACTGCGATTACTTGTGGATTGAAACAGGACAATTGATGGAAGCAGCCACAGCCTCTAAGCTCTTAGTTAGTAGGTACCGTAAGGGACAAAAATCATCATGTTCTCCCATCCAAGACGTAAGCCTCCATATTTCCCCTTTTTCTTCTTTTGAAACACTACTAGTAAAGCAATCTCATTTTCTTCCAATTTGCTTGATAAAATCACGATCATTGGGACCATCCGTGTGGAGGCAACAAGTGACGCCGTTCACGGGAACCAGATTCAAAAGGAATTCCTTCCTGGGAAGACACAGTTTGACGTCTAAGGTCACGTATCCGGTTTCACCTGTTGAAGTCAAAGGAGCCTACTACAATACAACAAGTCCGGGGTGCTTTTTGTTCTTTTCGGCATGGTTTACATTCTTGGCGTTTAGTAAAGAAAGAACGAATGCCACTTCTAATGAAGCGACTTTTAAGGTTGCTGCATGTTCGTGTGGCCAACAACTCGAGTGTAGGTAACATTAGACCTCTGACTCCATCATGCCTGTTAGTTGTCGATGACCCCAGCCAGCCGCACACTAAAGTACAGTAGTCATGTCATGTCATGTCAGGACTCTCGGATCCATTGCAAGTGCCTCGTGACCTTATTTCCAATATACTCCTTCATGTCCGCCTTGTTCTCATTGTCCAGATGAATCTGAAATTCCAGATGATCCTTGGTATGTATACATCGAAAGTGACCTTTCTCATCCACTCGGGCAAAGCCACTATCCATCATCTTTTTGATCCCCAACCATTGGATCCCCACCTCAATTTCTGTGTGTAAAATCAAATCTCCATCCGCATTGTAACGAATGGTGGTGACGCCACCCAACATGAACCAGGGAGCAACGCGAGGAACCAATTTCCATATTCCTACGTAGCGGTCTCTTGGATCTGTCGGCGTCGTTAGTATCGTCTTTGTTCCGGCTGTTGATGTTGTGGACATGGCTGCTGTTGGCGTACTAGTATGGTGTTGTGGTCGACTACTAATTAAAATATGTTGAGCCGTCCCTTTTGGATTTTTGGTTCTTCGAACTGAAACCCGTCTGTTTTCTGTTGTTCGTTGTTGTTCTCTCTGATCGTACCGTAAGGTTCAGGTTCAGGGACTGATTGAATGAGCAGCAGCTGGCAGCTGCCAAGTCACGAACGGTACTGATGAACATTGTACAGTGATGCCACGACCAGTTACCGGTATTATTAGTACCCTCTGCAGCTCCCTCTGCCTGCTCTCGAAAGATGACAGCAAGACAGCAACCTCAACCAGGGCACCCTTACAACAAAACGATGTGCTGTTGAATCCATTTCGGAGGCAGCACTACTAGCTATTAGTTATACGGTAGTGCACGGTTGTAATAAGATAGACAAGCAAAATGACGTACTGCAGCATTGACCCCGACAAGGCGGCCTACAAAATGTCCAAGGGCGAAATGATCTGCAAGGGAGAGGCCCAAGTTCGGACTGTGGTCGGCTACGTATTGACGTTGCTGCATTTGGCGGTGAACTACCACAACCGTCTGCAAGACAATCGCACCATGAGCATCGTGTCCTTTCTCTGTGGGTCTGCTGGAGTGATGCTCTATCGCATGGGACAAGATTCTCAATGAGGTTGCATTGTGAGTTGCATGTTCTTTCTTTCGGCTGCTTGATGTCACTTTCATTCCTTCTTTCATCCGTGCAACGGTTATTGTCCTCGGACTGAGTAGTATCATCTTAGCTTACCCAATGATTTTTTGATTTTCATTCTGATTTTTGCAAACTTGTTACAGTTGGTGGGAGCCTGGAACCCCGAGGGTAAGGGCTTTCTCCCCGTTCCGGACAAGGACTTTTTGCATTTCAAAGTCAAGGAGTTTTGGAGGAACATTGGGTTGGCATTCGTGACGGCTGTCACGATGCAGACCGTCCAATTGCACTTTTGGAATGGCCACGAGTTGTTGGACACACAAGACTTGACCGACATGGGCCTTTTGGCATTGGCGGGTTTGGTTGTCACTTGGATGATCGCCTTGCCCCTCCAGTTCTTGGTCGCCAAGCCAACGGCGGCCAACACGGCCATTGCCAAACAACCATAATTACTTGTTGGACGAGAGAGAGAGAGAAAGAGACAGCATTTGCTGCCACAGAAACTATCTCATCACACTGGAACAGAATGACGCCCAAGGAAACGTGTTTCTTTCAAGCAAGAGACTTGGAAGGAACATGACCCGAGAGCTGACATGTTCGAGTTTGACATGGATAGTGGCTGTACGGTACTATCAAGGTGATGTCTCTTCCGATATTTATTTCCCGCAAGTACATAATGTAGATACATGCGCTGGTAGTATGTTTTTGCTTGCAGAACCAGAGCATTTTGCATGGACAAAGTCACTCTGACTCCTATTCAAATTACGTCTCTCCAAAGAGTGCATTCCGTTTTCTGCACGCAAATTGGGAAATCTTTTCTCGCAGACGTGGTGTTGCAACGCGGCTAAAAAGGAGGCTTAGCCTAGTACTGGTACAGCAGCAGTAGCTAAATGTCGGGGCCGTACCGGTGCGAGATACCGGTACCGGCCAGGTAGCGGATGATAATCTGGAGCCTTTCCCTCATTGGCTTTAGAGCAAAGATAGCTTGGAAACCTGCGATAAACAAGTCCCGAGTGATATTGCTTGGTACTTTTTAGTGGGATGAGTCATTCGATTTGCCGAAAGCTATGGTTATTTGCCGGTCCAGCGGGACAAAGGGGGCGATGGCACCTTTGCTTCAAGGCAGGAAACTTACTTTTGCAGTGGACGCAACGGCCCACGAAGAAGCTTCTCTCCCTCTTCCCCGTAAGATAGTGACATTGGTTTGCTTGGGGCACCTTTGAACATGTCTAGCTAGTAGCAGGTTGCATCCTCCAGTGCCATCTATCGGTACTAGTTACATGTACCGGTAGCTAGTCGCAGCTACCAGTACTAGCTAGCTAGCTAGCTAGGATCTACGGGTACTAGGTCTACCGATTGCGATTTCCTATTCCGACAGGTCTCGATCTCTCCTCTATCGCCATAAAGGATTGCAAAACCGCTTTGTGGGCTTTTATGTTGTGACCATCGCGAGGGTCACTACTGGGAATGAAAAACCTTTGACAACGGAAACATTTATTTATTGCTTTACTACGATCAAGAGAACCAGCAATAGATCATATGTTACACTAGATGGCTCCTCTGCTCCTGTGACTGGCACCAGAATGACACTGTATTACAACTTACTTATTGCTGGCGACACAGTAACCAGGCTCTTTAGTTCTTTCGAATCAATCTGGTAAAAAAACCTTCCTTTTCGAATTTTTGCCATCAAGTTAAAAGTCCAAGACCAAAAAACTCCCACGCCGACACACTCCCACCTCCCACACACAATACAAACCTTTAGAGGACTCGACTCGACTCTGCTAGCCAGCTAGACGGGGATTGAAGCAGGGAATGAATAGAAGAGAAGAGAAGATAGTCACCATGAAGGACCTGGACAACAGCTTTAATGAAGTCACTAGCACGCACAGCTTGCAGGCTCAGGGTCGAGGAGCCTTTGGACACCAGTCGATTTCCTTTGGCTGTGAAACAAGCACCACAACCATGAAGACAACGGACGACATGGAAGCTACTAGCACGCACAGCTTGAACGAAGCCACGCACAGCTTGCAGGCGCCACCACCCAGTGGTCGGAGGATGCGACGCCAGTCAATCTCCTTGGGCTACGAGACTGCCTTGAAACCACCGGCAGCTACCCGAGCAAGTACTGTCAAGAAAACTGCCGATGATGACACGGACGCCGTGAGCTTTAGTCGCATTGCCGAACTCAAGGCCAAGTTACAACAGTCCATCAACGATTCGAGTCTTCACTTGACCAGTAAAAAGAGTTGGCATGGCAAGGATTGGCAAGAAGGTGACGATGATGATGATGACGATGATGATGACGACATGAGTGACAGCTTTACGGGCGTACAGAGAGAACTCAACAGCGAAGCCCTAAAGAAATCGTTTCATCGCAGTTCCGGCTTTTGGAAAGACGAATTGGGAGTGACACAAGAAATCAAGGAAAAGAACGAGTCTCTGACCGCTACGGGTAAAAATGGAGTCTCCAAGAGACGGTTGGCGTCGCTCAAGGGAATGTTGCAAACGGGTGTCCTGGACACTCTCGATGAAAATCATCGTGCCAAGAGTCTGACGGATCGATTGAAATCGGCCGTCAATACTGCAAATGCAACAGCACCCGATGATGCTCAAGGTACCAGTTTGCTCAGCATCATGGTCAAGGCGTCCACTCAAACGGTGCGAAAGCGACAACAGGAAACGGGACGACTCTTTCAGACCAACAACAAGTTGCTCCAACGACAATACGACCGTGCGGCTCTCAAACTGCAGACATTCTTCAAACACGTCTTACACCATACACGGAGTTACCAAGTGGAACGAAAATATCTCAAGGCCAGTCTCAAGGATGCCAAACGACGAAGGCGGGAAGAATTGAAGGATATTCAAACTTTTGTGGAAATGGAAAAGGAACAGTTTCGTCTCGAGTTACTGGCAGAAGATGACGAGCAAGACGACAATCCCGAATGGCAACAACGACAGGCCACCATGAAGGCACTCCGAAAGGAGATTCACTCTATCAAAACGGACAATATTCAACTGCGCATTGATTCCGTGGCATTGGAACAAGAAACGGAACGAATTCGAATCGAATCCCAAAATCCCGATCGGATCCGCCTACTCAAGCAAATCCAACATCTCGAAAAAGACCAAACCGATTGGACACAACTCTCGGAACATTACCAAACCAAACTCCAATCCACGCAAGACAAAGTCGATGCCGTCACCAATCATTTTTTTGCCCAAAAACAACAACGCAAGAGGGTCGTCAAACGCATCAAACAAGTGGTGGCACGCATCAATGAAGAACCTCTCGTGGCGTTGGTACAGAAACACAAGACCAGTCGCGACAAGAAATACGACAAAATCAAAGCGGCGCGATCCAATGGAGAATTTCCCGTTCCGACCCAAGACGACTTGGAACGGATTTTGGAACTCACACCGAAACCCTTTTTTGATGAAATTCGAAGATTGTGGCAGGAATACCAACAACGCGTTCAAGATCATCCCGAGGAATATTATGGTATTATTGTGGAGAAAGGGCTCGACAATCCACAAGCGCCACCCGAACAACAAGAGTCAGCCGCAACTGAGGAGTCGTCCAAGGAAGAATCACCAGCAACTCCGATCGATGAAGTGGAGGAGCCAGTGACCAAGGAAGAACCAGTAACAACGGAAGAGCCACCAGTCAAGGACGAACCAGCGACAACCGAAGAGCGACAAGCCACGGAAGAACCAACGACAACCCCTGCGCCATGGCAACCACAAAATATCGCTCCCAAACAACAACCTGCCAAGCAGGCAAAGAACGGCTTTGAGGAGGTCTACACCGTTGGCGAAAAACTGGGGGAAGGAGAATTCGGAGCAGTTTACAAGTGCCACCACAAGGAGACTGGAAATGAGCGAGCCGTCAAGATTCTCGACAAAACATACATGGACGAATGGGAGTACGAACAAGTCATCAAGGAGTTTGACATGCTCACCAAACTCGACAATCCAAACTGTATACAGGTATACGAGATGATGACATCGGACGACAAGTTTTACATTGTCCAAGAGCTGGCAAAGGGCGGTGAACTGTTTGATGAACTCATCAATCGGGGCAAACTGCCAGAAAAGGATGTGGCTGCATTGATGAGGAGTGTCCTGTCGTGTGTCCAGCATCTGGCCAAGAACAACATTGTCCACCGCGACCTCAATTTAGAAAATATCCTGTTGAACGATTCCCAGGGGAATTACGAAAACGTCAAGGTGATCGACTTTGGGCTTGCGGCAAAGTGTGAAGAAGGCGAGAGACTCTACGAGATGGTGGGCAAGGCGCGATACGTATCACCAGAGGTTCTGGGAGATACGGGTTACGGCCTCAAGTATGATGTCTGGAGCTGTGGTGTAGCAGCGTACACTCTTCTCTCAGGAGGTCACCCCTGGGATGCCGAGTACGACCAAGATGTGTATCCACTGATTGTGGAGGGATACTTTGATTTCAAAGACCAAGCTTGGGAAGGCGTGTCGGATCAGGCCAAAGATTTTGTGTCCAAGCTCCTGGCGTACAAGGAAGAGGATAGGCCCACGGCAGAACAAGCGCTGGGGCATCCTTGGTTTACGAACAATGACAATGGACTAACATTCTCAGAGGCTCCTCCAGCTCCTCAGGTTGTCTTCACAGCTTCCAGTACCGCTGCCGTCACGGAAATCGCTGCCGTTGCCGAAGTCGAGCGTGTCGAGGAGATTGAACGAGCAGCCAAAGAACTCGCCGACAGCACCCACAGCACGAGCGGGAAAAAGAAGAAAAAGCAGAAGCGAAGGAGCAAGCAAGCTCTGGAAGATGAAATGGACGTATCGTTGCAATACCAGCCGCCAAAGCCGTTGGAATTGTCAGCCTTTTCGCAGTCCACTATCGGCAGCATGGCAAAAAGTGCCAGCAACAACAACGTTCAGGGAAGCGCACTCAGCAAGAAAAAGAAAAAATCAAAGAAGAAGAAAGATAAAGACGAAGAGGAGCAGATTGCCGCACTGCTACGAAACCGAAAGAGCAAGGTTGAAAGTGATGATACATTCTCCAAGATGCTCTTTTCGGGAGTCAACCATGGGTCTAAAAAGACGGCCTTGGCCAAGGGGGCTAAATCCAAAGCGAAGGGTGCGGCGTTGTTGAAGGGTGCCGTGTCGGATGTGCTGGGCAGACAACGGCGCATGGGCGCAGTAAAGACCTTGATGATGGCTGCGAATAACGAGGATTCTTCCGATGAAGATGAAGAGGAGGAAGTCGAGGTGCCCAAGAAAGCGCCAACGGAGAAGAAGAAATCGAAGGGAGCAGCAGCTTTGAAACTGAAGGGGGCCGTAAAGAATGTGCTAGGGAGGCAACGTAAGGCCTCGGCCATCATGTCGCTCATATCAGGCATTAGCGACGACGAAGACGCCAGTGACGACGAAGAGACTGCCGATGAAAAGAAAATCGAGCCTGCAACAGCACCCAAGATGAAAACGAAGCGAGCCAGCACAGGGACTGATGCGGTAACTCCAAAAAGCAAAGCGAAGCGGTCCAGCGCAGGGAAAGTTGCACAGGAGCAACGGTCTTCAGCTCTTTTTTCGCTCATCACGGGCCTTGCGGGAGACGAGGATTCGGACGAAGAGGCGCCAAAAACTTAAAAAGCGTTGGTGGCACAGCATTGTGTTTTGTACAGTGAAGGGAAATCGAGCAATGTCCGTCGGGGCGAGGTGGGGTTGAGCAGTGTGGAAGTAGATCTTGTTTGCCCAAGAAATATGTGTACTAGTACTTGTAGTCAAATCGTTATGTAACGGGATTATCTATTTGAGTGCGGATGCGGCTGCATCTGCATCCGCACACTAGCTTCAGAGATCTGACCTGTGTTGTATTCCCTTTTGGTTTATGTATGCCTGCTGCAAGCCTAAGAAGTTTTTACTACTAGCTTTTTGCTTGCAACCCTGGACCCGGAACAGCCCCTTAGGCAACCCTGAATCCAGACTGTTGCTACCATTGGCAACCCTGGACCCAGACTCTGCCTTACTCCCTTTCGCATCCCTGGACCTGATGACTGTGGTGCCCTCGATCTCTTCCGCTAGTCTTCCCCCCTTGATCCTTCTTGCCCACCACCATGCCTTCCCTCCCTCTAAACCATAGTAAGCAATACGTCTTCTCTTTTGTAGGAACAGTGCCCGAGAACAGGTTGTCGTTGATGTATATGAACTCCAAGTGGGAAAGTTTGGAAAAGAGAGCAGGAGGTAGTGTGCCTTCTAACTTGCTGGAGCCAATAAAGGTATGTCAGCTCTGAGAAACAAGCGAAGGTGAATTCTGATGGGCAGAAGTCAACACTATACAACACAAAGCATGTTTTTGAACTCACCAGTCAGTTCCAGGTTCGGTTCGCAGCCTACACGTTAACTCAAAGGTCTGCGTTATTGATGATCAGTAAGGGAGTATTAGCAAGTGTTTAGTTTGCAGACCCTGAAAGCGAAATATTGTTTCATAGGTGGTGCACCCAAAGTGTCGTGCTACCGAACCCTGAACCACAAGTATAGACCACTTTGATCTGCTAGCTAGCACTTCTGCTAGCTAGCAGTTCAATTCTGGCAAGGACCACAATCACAGCCACACAGGGAAGTTCCATGACAGACTGTTGTGTTGCTTTTCACAGGCAAGAGTTTACAGTGACCACCATAGCATTTCGTTTCCTGCTGGTACAACTTGTTACACAGTTCTTCAGGGATGCTGCCTGACAAGGATGTGTCTGTGACTACCAAGCTGGCCAAATTCTCCAGCATGAGTATTTCTGTAGGGAGGGTGCCAGAAAGGTTGGTATTCTGCAATTTTAGCGTCCAGAGATCAGACAGTTGGCCCACTTCCATAGGAATGGTGCCCAAGAACAGATTGTCATTGATGTGTAATTCCTGCAGGTTTGTAAGTATGGAAAAGAGATCAGGTGGAAGTATTCCCTCCAACTTGTTGGAAACAAGATACAAAAATGCCAGATCTGAGAGAAAGACAAAGACAAGAATATTGGAAAGGGGGTGGCATCATTGTAGAAAAATTTACTGAAGCAGAATATTCACAATACTCACTGGTCAACTCCAACAATATCGGTGGCAGAGTTCCAGAGATTGAACTGCCACTCAACATCAGAGTTGCCTATTGATTTTGTAAGAATTCAAATTGAGCGTACCAAGAAGCCTCCACTGAAAAATTTGATTCAGGCACAAAACTCTTGCTTACCAACTTTCCCAACTTTCCAATCTCCTTCGGTAGAGTGCCATGAAGATTCCAGTTCTCCAAACATAGGAACCTTAGTTGTGTCAGAGTTCCAATTTCAGCTTTTAAAAGAGAATGCACCAAAAGTGTGAGATGTCATCATTCCGACCACAAAGTCTAGCTTGTCTCCATGCTTACATGGAATTGGCATTAATGTCCCAATGCTTTGCTTTGATAGTGATAGCCAACGAAGCTGTATTGCGTTGTGAACTACTTCTTGAAGGATGTATTCAGTTTCCAACCCAGGGCACTCACGAATTGTAAGAGACTGCAGGTCAGGCAATTTGTAAAGCTTGCGAGGTACTGAACCTAGTAGAATGAATGACAGTATCAGGTTTCCAATCTGCCGACCAAGCCGAACCAAAGCACACAGTCACATACCTGTTAGATCAGTTTCTGTCACAGCAAATTCTGATAAGTTGCGCAGTCGTCCAATCTCAGAAGGAATTTGCCCATGAATACGTATAGCAGAAAGATGAAGGATCTGGAGACTCTGCAGTTGACCAAGCTCAGTTGGAATGGAGCCAGCAATGTTTGTTACAGCCAATGTTAATTGAGTCAATTGTGTCAGAAGTCCAAACTCAGTGGGGATAGTCCCTCTGAGTTCCAATTGCCAAATTACTTTGATCGACTGCAAACTTTTCCCCAGCAAGGAAATCTCCGGAGGAATTGCTCCTTCCATGCTATTGGCATGCGTAAATGCCAGTGCTTTGATTTCCCCCTTGTCATTGCAAATCACTTCTGGAGAGAATATAATGCCATCGAATATTTGTTCCCAGCTGCATTCATTAGTCTCCCAATCCAGCCAGCCACGATTTTTCACCCAATAGTCCCCTCTTGTGGAATAGTAGAATGTGGCCATAGTAAATCTTTGTATCAGCCTCCATTTTGGTAAATCTGGTTGAATGAAGGTTTGGTTATTGATGCTGTTGACCAACCATTGATAGGCCTTGAACTGAGGAGATCTGGAGTTTGCCAGTGCCTCTTGTGTGTAGCGAGGTAGATTGAGTGACTCCAAAAAGGTCTGTGCTGATGCGGCGACTTCCACAGGACTTGCAGGAATACGAGTTGATTCATTTTGATTGGGTAGCTGTTTTCCATTTCCCTGTTTGGATGTCAGCACCAATATTTCGTCTCCCGGAGACGATTTGCTTTTAGGGGTAAGGGTACCGATGGGGAGTGGAGGTTTGAATTATACCCGGCGTGCATTACTTAGAGGCCTCTGTAGAAGTCTACGTATTCGACTAGTATTGTATTGACGGGATACAGTCAACGCATGTACATGCACATGAAAGTCGCCTTGCGTTCTTCACATTTTTCGCATGAATGAGGGATCTGTTTCGGGGCGAAGGCGTTCTTCACATTTTTTGCATGAATATCTGTTTCGGGGCGAAGCAGAGAAAGGGATGAGCGCGCGGAGCGCGCGAATACTAGGTGTTGGTAATAAAAGATTTATGGAAACGGAGACGAGCCAGGAGGCATATGAATTAGGACAATAATAGATACACCAAGGAAAGCAACAATGATCTCTGCGGATAGGGAACAAAATAACTTTTGCCTCCAGTACTGTCTTGATCTCTGGTTGATTGATAGTGGCTCTGCATTGGGTAACAGGCCTGTCTGCTGATCATTATCCATAGGATGTGCAATGACTTCATCATCTGGAATTTCTTCAACCCAATTGTCCAGGCCTTCCTCACTCGTACCGGAGCTACTATTCGAATGATTTTCTCTGTCGTTAGCAAGACCTGGACCATCAACGACATATGCACCAGGATTCCTTTGCTTTTGTCCAGAATATTCGGACTGCCTTGTTAGAATTTTTTGTAGTGGCACTTGTGCATCATCTTTGTTTCTGTTATCACTCATCTGGGATGTTGTGCCAGCTTGTTCGGTGAGTTCTACTAGCTCAAAGTCTCCAGCTGTCTCAAGATGTGCAGCATCGGCTCTTTCTCTGACAATTTTCATAATATTAAAGTCACTTGTGGTGGTTGATGGTGGAAGAGTAGGGGCAGCAGCACTGGCAACACGACTACTACTAGTAGGAGAAGAAGAAGAACAGCTCGAGGAACCAACGACGGCTTGTTTAGATTCATTTTCTTGACAATTTTCTGAATCTCCAAGCTGCAATCTCAACTCCACAATCTTGAGAAGATCGACATCATCATCATCACTGTCGTTGTTGTTATTGTTATTGTTAGACATGGTGGTCAATCAACAGAAAAGCAATGGATGCAACACCGCCTGCTGCGACTGTCATCCTGATCAACCTGTTGCATGGTTAGCGTCTTCTTAGCGGTACCATACTCCCGTATCGGTATCGGTATCCGCATCGGTACCGGCAGGAAGAAATAGTAACCCTCCCCCTTTTATCTGTGGAAAGTGAGCTTCCACGCCGTGGTAACATCTTGTGTGTCAGTCACGATCAAGACCAGCTGTCCAACGCCTTTGCCCATCAACCGCTTGCTTCTCGGCAGGCCTTTGGACCTTTGGATCCGTCCTGACAATGGCGGAGAGCATGGCTTCTTTGCTACCAGGTACGCTGTGCTATGCCAGGCTAGACTACTAGACTAGTAGTACAGTATTACTGCTTTACCCCCTCATCACCACCATCCAAGTAGACTACTAGACGAGACTCTGACTCTAGCTAGTAGCACAATGCGGGTGCCACCCCAGAATAGTTCCGTGCGAGAATCGAGCACCAGTTACTATGCCCAGGGACGAGAGTTTTATGACGATCAATACTCGGATGGCAGTTCCGTGGCGTCCATTGACCACACACTCAATTTCAGTCAACCGATTCCCCGTGAGAATGAGGTGAAGATCCTCCAAGGCGCCTACGACAGCTTGTGGGCCAATAAAAAGTCCAACAATACTAAAACTAGTAAGGAAGAAGAATGGAGAAACGAAATTCCTTCCATGTGTTTGATCGAAGGACGCAGTGGCGTTGGCAAATCGACACTGTTTCAGCTCTTTGCAGACTCTGTCAATCAAAGTCAAAGTCAAAATGCCAGTCATCACAAACCGTACATACTGAGTGGCAAGTACCACGAGATGAGTTCCGATGAACCACTGAGTGCCATTGTGGAGGCGTTCAATGGACTGGCCGTGGCGCTCTTGGTACAGCAGCAAACAGAAAATGCTAGTAGTGATCAAGAAACCAAAAAGAGTGAAGTGGACGAACTCTTACAACGTGTCATTACGAGAATAGGAGGAATGGATGCTGCCGCTCGTTTGTGTTCGATTGTCCCCAGTTTGGAGCCTCTCTTTGCCAACATTGTCTACTCGGCACCCAGCGAAGGATCCACTTCGGTATCCTCCTCTCACCATCATACTACTACCAATCCCATGATGATCCATTCCTTGAGTCGAGCTACTGCAAGCTTCAATCCACTCAGTGGCGGTGGCAGCAGCGCCGATGAATTCAGTTCCACCGTCAGTGTGGCACAACGACGATCTCGCAAAGATGGTGCCAATGCCTGGAATCAAGTCAAATACATGTTTCGAGCATTCACCACTGTACTAGCGAGACAACGACCCGTCATTTTATTCCTTGACGATCTACAATGGTGTGACAAACCCAGTGTCGAACTCTTACAAGACATGCTGCTCGACCGACACTTGCGGTGTTTTTTCTTTGTCGGAGCCTACCGGATTGGGGATGACGAGGATGGCGATTCCAATACTACGAAGAATGCCGTCGGCAGTCACTGGAACTATGTGCAAAGAGTCCTGCAAACATCCATTCCCATTATTCGGTTAAACAACCTAACCCAAGATGGACTGTGCCAGTATCTCAGACTGGTGCTAAGAATGGAGGAAGAAGAGGAAGATGACGATCAATCCACGCGATTACAAGAACTGGCCCAAGCATTGTATCAGAGAACCAATGGAAACATATTTTTTACTCGAAATGTACTCGAGGAATTATACTCCAAACAACTCTTGACGTTCTCGCACATGACATTCACGTGGGAATGGGATCTCAACCAAATTCCATTATTGGACAACGTCCTGGATGCTGTGGCACAACGCATTCAATCACGAGCCGAAAAGTCACCCCTGCTGCGACGAATACTCATTCTAATGGCTTATGTATCCAGGACAAAGGTCTCCCTCAAGCTGCTCCAGCATCTCGTCAGCAATATTGAGACAGTCAACAACAGCAGCAATAATAACAACAATGGCGCAGGCATGATTCAGGATCTAGAAATGATCCAGGAACTGGACAAGGCCATCCATGATGGATTTTTGGTGCGGGATGGCACAGGGGCCACGCAGTATGGGTTTAGCCATGACCGAATCAAAGAGGCGGCTTTCATTCTGATACCAGAGGGAACTGAAAGGGATGGCTTGCGCCGCAAATTGGGCATGTTGCTGTATTCAGTCAGTCAAGATCTTGCCCTGGGACAGGATTGGATGACGATCGCTGCCGCAGATCACATGAATGCCGCCACCAAAACGGTCAAGGATGAGGAGGAAGCCATTTTCCTCACCAAACTCAATTTTGAAGCGGGAGAACGGTGTGTCTGGGTAGCAGCGTTTGACAGTGCGTCCAAATACTTGGAACAGGCCACGAAACATCTGCAGAACAATACGCAACAGGGAGACCCCTGGACATTCCACTACAGCCTGACGCTCGAGGTGTTCTCGTTGCGAGCCGATGTGGAACTCGCCAGAGGCAACTGGGATGTTGGCTTTAAAGTCTCCGAGGAGGTTTTGGACCGTGGCAGGACCATTGAGGACAAACTGTCGACGCAATTGTCGTATTCCAAAGCCCTTGGCCGCCAAAAGAGCCACGAAGAGTCCTTTTTGTCCAGCAGTGGGACCCTACAGGCGATGGGGCTCTACCCAAAAACACCGATCGGGATGAAAGTGGGCTTGGTGCGGGATTTGATGTACGTCCGACGCTTTGTCAAGGCTAAAACCGACGAAGAGATTTTAACGATGGCTCCGTCGACGGATGTACAGCTTGGTCTCGCCATAGAGCTCTTTGGGTGTGCCATCAGACAGTGCGTGTACACGAACCGTCTTATAGATTTGGCTGCCCTGGTATTTAAAGCTCTGTTCTTGTGTTTCCACCATGGCCAATTCCCACAAACTGGTCGCATGTTCCTGGCGTACGCATTCATTTGCGACAAGACGGGAGACTATGGGGGCGCCCGTCGATTTGCCGACCTGGCCGTTGCAATGGCCGCTCAAAGCCCCGAAAGGGGCCTGTATGGCTGGGTCCTTTACTGCCGCACAGCCATCTTTGACACTTGGAGCAAACCGCAGAAAGAAATCGCAGAGCTGTTGGACGTTGCCTTCAAACGATGCATGGCGGGTGGTGACTATGAAAGTGCCATCATCGGCCGCTCCTGCGCTCTGGAATGTGACTTTTTGGCCGGGACGTCGTTGGTTTTGCTTGACATTCGGTGTGCCGATTTGGTGAAGCACTCGCAAATGTATGCCGAGGTGCTTGCGAGGCCGGTTGAAACTATATGGCTTCCAGTGCGTCACCTGCGTGGCACAATCGATTCTCCGCTTGATTTTGACGCTCTCGCTGCGTTTGACGAAGGCGACGAAGACAAGGCGTTTCTTACGATTTGCATTACCTCCTATTTGGCTATTGGTGTGTATTGGAGCAATTATGGTTTTGCAGAAAAAGTGTTGTTGAAAGCATTTCCGCCTGCCGACAAGTCCTTCACAAGAAAAGTGCCACGATTATTCTTTGCGAATATAGCCTACAATACACTTTATCGCACTGATGGAAACCGTGCTTATCGCAAGCGTGGAAAAGAGGCTGCTTCAGAGTTGCGGAAGCTCAGCGAGGAAAGGGGAATGAACAGCTGGCATCGAGTCATCATTGGGGATGCACACATCAAGGGTTGTACGAGGAAGAAAACGCCCGGTGCTAAGGATGTGTTGGCGGAGTATGACAAGGGCATCGATGCAGCTCTCAAGTGCCACCACAAGCATGACGCTGCTCTTGCGTCGCAATTGGCAGCCGAGTACTTAATCTGGAAGATGCAAGGTGGGAGTCTAGATGATTCGCATTCCACGTCAATCACTAAGTATTTGAGCGATGCACGAGGGTGGTACCGCGAATGGGGGGCGACCAACCTTGTCCGACACTTGGAAGAGACGTTTTCTGGGTACCTGAGAAGAGACAGATGAATCGAGGCAACAACAAGCTGAAGCATTCGCAACCCGCTGCGTCACTAACTCCGCTTCGATCTGAAGTTTCGTTTGGTAGGATCTTTCGTACTTCTAGTACGAGTTTCTGTCAGTCAATTGGTCAAAGGAACCTTCCTTGTGTCTTCAAGTGATTTTTTTAGATCACAGAGCTGATTTACCGTTGAAACCTGGGGACATCGATGAAGGAGAGTCCCAGCGGCTTCACCAACTGTGGGCGCAGAACTGTCCCCAAGTCCTTCTCATGTTGTCTCTGACTCGAGTTCTTTAGACAAGAGTGCTGCTTGTGGTCCGTTTCGCCGTGGTTAGTTCAACCCATTGGAATGACCGGCTGCAAGGCACAACACCTTGCATAGCGCCGTCCTCTCGACAGCAAATGTTGAAACCCCGGATTTCCCCCCTCTCTCTGAGGGGTACACTGCTCTCGCGCTCTCTGGCAAACCTTCCGCAGTTCTGATCTTTCGGCTAGCTCGACAAGTTACAGATGCAGGGATTGAAATAGTAGAATGGAAGTTGGTACCGTACGGCAAGAGGTATGCACAAACAACGTGTTTGTTGCTTGAAACTAGCTGGCTTGATCACATGTGTTCAACATCAGTTTACAAACTAAGATTGCAGTTTTGATGGCCTCCTCCCTGTAATCTTCAGCACAAAACTTCCCAGTTCAGTTGTGGTCATCAACGAACTATTATCGTTTACAATGTTCTATCTATGTTTATGTTCTATATCTATCGGTAGTAATATGGGCGTCTGCCCCCTGGGTTGCATGCCTCTTCTAAGGGGTTCATATCCGAAGGGGCCACCATCATGTCATTGTTTGAAGGTGCAGCCACGGTGTCAACTGTGTTGAAAGGAGAAACCATAGAGTCAAAGACTTAGCTGACTACACATTCAAAACCAGAATCCTGGTCCTGCCAAGGTGGCAGTGGCAATTGCAGTCATTCGCTTGGGATTCTCTTTGGTACTGAGCGCCAAAGACCAGGAGTTGTCAATGGGGGTGGAAGGGGCTGCATTGCGAGCTCTTCCAGTAATTTGGGTGTTTTCGAAAAAAGGTAAGTTGGTTGACATGGTCGTTCTCTTCAGCTGCCAGCTTTTGTTGGTCAATGTCCTGACTTTGACATCCAGGGTTGCTTCTGTCTGTTCAACACCAGTCCTGTCAGTGTTGGCTTCAAAGCTGCAATCCCTGCAAGTAATTTCCATGGCGAGGTTTTGGTCACAGTTGATCCTTGGTTCAAGGAGAGGGCTGCTGACACCAAGCCGAAGGGGCTGCTTGAGTTTTCTATCTGCGCCCCTGAGTGCTGCAGAGCAACTGGAACTTAATAGGGCAAGGAAGATGGTAATCATGGCAGATTTCAGGGTGGCAGTGAACATGTTGATTTGTGTTTTTGGTTTTTTTGTTGGTTTGATTTGTGGTGGTGCTTTGGTTTTGTGAGGACGAGAAGGGGATCGAGGCTTTCACCCTCTCGCTCTTGCTTTGTCCTGTCTGAACTTGGTCTTGTCGGCATATCTTGCTAGCTTGCCGTAAACTTACTTAGTTCAGTCTAAAATCGTATGATACCTTGCTGTTTCGTATCTTGATGCTTGCTGTGTCGCTCTGCTCGGAACGGGAGCTCGGATAGTCAGGTTGCACAGGGTACAAGTACTGACTCGTACCGGTATCCGACTGGGTGCCTGGGCCTTGGGCATACTAGTACCCTTTTTGGCCAATCGAGTCAGGATCGAAGGACCGGCGTGCAGGATACAAAAAGAACCGGTACCGGCACGGTCAAACATCGGAATGATACCAGTAAATGTAGAAGATTCAATCTCTCCCCAACTCGTTCTCTTCCCTCTGGAAGACCTCTCTCATGATGCAGGGCTCCCTCGCAACAAAAGAGACAGCTGGTTCCGCTTCCCGACTCAGTCGGCTCAACCAGGAGCAAAAACTGACATGGCGCATTCACTGCTACACGTTTGCCTATTACCGGCGCTGGCTGGTACCTTGCCACGACGAGCTGCAAGCTGCTCATCCGAAAATCGCACGAGATCGCCTACAGACTAAGAAGTCAAACTGTTAGAGCTGGGATGGTCTCCAGCTTCTCGAGCCGCTTCGTATGTTTAGAATACTTGCTACTAACTACTAATAAATTGTTTTTACTAGTATTAAAAAAGGTCAAGGCTCGAATTTCTCCTTCTCCGAAGCAGCGGCAGAAAATCCACCGAACTGAGAAGTGACGAGTGCAAAGATACGAATTGCTGAAAGGCAAGAAAACATGCTTGGGAAGGGTGATGCATTTGAACTGGCAAAAGCTCTTGTCTTTTCAGAAGGGACTCGTCACTCGGATCCAATGTTACTAAACATGCTTGTGTGCCATCCATACCGGTAGTCACGCGTTATTGTTATAGCAAATACACAGCTCAGGCGGCAAAATGTTGAGGTTCCAGCCAAAGGCTATCCTTTTCCTGCATTCAATTTTCCACATTGAAATCTTGACTGAAAAGCAAGTCTGATCTCTCAGATCTCCATGACCCAAACCACTGGATAAAGCCAACGATGGATGTTTCAGGCCCGATAGAGATTCTAGGATGGGGTGTCCAAACTCTGACCCTGCTGGGTCTTCCTACTTTGTTTCAAAGTGGATCAGCCAGTTGGTCCCGCGTCACAGAAGGTCGGCTATTTCAGGGTCCACTATGAAAAACAGGGATGCGACAATGATAAATGAGGGCAATATCCACACCGCCGCAAACAGAGAGATTGCGCCAACAAACCGTTACGGCGTGCTAAGATGTGGCATTGCACCACTTGCCGCTATCAAGGCAAGTTTGATCTCGCCTGCGTCCAGATCATACAACGGCCAGGAGTCCAAAGATCGTTTAGACCAACCACAATTCTCAATTGAGACCCGTCAATCTCTGAATTTATTCGGCCACAGTCCTGTCGTGGCACGGATGGCAGACTTGCACCGCAACTACATGACCTCCGTACTGTACCACTGGTCAATTCAAGATCTACTGGCTAGCCAGCAAATCCTGGCAAGATCTTTTGTACTTGCTCTGGCTGGATAGCAGATCCTTTGTCAAGGAAGAGAGGGCTGAGAACTCGACTCAGCTGTTGCTCTTACTTTGGTCTCATAAAACAAAACAACACTCAATCAAACAACAACAAACAATCAAACATCCAATTAGAATCCCAAGTCTCACTACAATGCTCTTTGCCACCACCAAATTCACCATCTTCCTTGCCCTCTCCTCCATTTCTGGTTGCTCTGCTGAAGGAATCAGGGGCACCAACAGAAAGCTCAACCAGCCCAACCCCAACATTCAATATGGCAACCCCGCCCTTGGCCCCAGGATCAACTGTGACCGGGAGCTCACCATGGAAATTACTTGCCGGGATTGTGACTTTGAAACTAACACTGCTAGGTCTGGCGTGACACAGTCAGAAGCCACATTGGATGTTCAAGTCAGGACCCTAAGTGATAAGAGCTGGAAGTTGAAAAGGACCACCATGTACACCAACTTTCCTTTCTTTGAGGATATGCTGGTGACTGGCACATCCCGCAACGCAGCCCCTTCCACTCCCATCCACAACACTTGGTCCTTGGAGCTTGCTACTCTAAATGATCCCAAGCACTTGCTAGCCTTGGCCACTGCCACTTTAGAGGACCAGGATAGTGGTTTCGAATGTGTCGTCAGCCAGGTCTTTGACTCTATGGTTTCTCCCTTCAACACTCTTCTGGAAGCTCCTTCTTCTGCTCCTTCTTCAGCACCCTCATCATCCTTTGATGACAGAAAACTCAGCCAGCTCAACCCCAACATCCAATATGTCAACCCTGCACTTGGTCCAAGGATCAACTGCGATCAAGAGCTCACCATGGAAATTACTTGCCAAGACTGTGCCTTTGAAACTAACACTGCTAGGTCTGGTGTGGAACAGTCCGAAGCCACTTTGGATGTTCAGGTCAGGACCTTGACGGACAAGAGCTGGCAATTAAAGAGGACCACCATATACACCAACCTTCCCTTCTTTGAGGATACTCAGGTGATGGGAACTTCCCGCAGTGCTGCCCCTTCCACTCCTGTCCTCGACACGTGGTCCTTGGAGCTCAATACTCTAGACAATCCCAAGCACTTGCTAGCCTTGGCCACTGCCACCTTGGAGGACCAGGATAGTGGTGTTGAGTGTGTTGTCAGCCAGGTCTTTGACTCTATGGTTTCCCCTTTCAACACTATCCTGGAAGCTCCTTCTTCTGCTCCTTCTTCAGTCCCCTCGTCTGACAGTGGCATGAGGATGACCCCTTCGGAAATGAACCCCTAAAACGCAACCAGAAGTTGCACCCTTTAGAGAGCAGCTGGAACTCCATTGTATGTGAGATAGACCACAATAGAGCAGCTACTAATGCATTTTACCATTACACTTGCTATCTTAGGGTGTACAGTCGTACTTGGGTGATCCCAAAAGGAAGCTTGGGTCCAATTCACGATATGCATCATCAGAGTTCGTTCTGCCTCCCTGCTCCCTTTTTGAATGAGTCCTCTCGTGGGCCCCAGCAAGCAATCCGTGTGTATTTTTGTATGACTATTGATTAAAGGCAAGTAGACAGCAAGCATTTATCTCCTAGCAATCTCCGTTCATACCTCCGTCCAATCAACAATCAACCCCCCCCCCCCGGCATCAGTCAACAATCAATCAGCCAACATTAATTTAGCAAGAGATGCGCCACTGCACGGACGACGCGACATTCCCAGTCCTGCGGTCTTCTCCTTACCTTCCAATACATACACACCCGCGTATTGTGGTCTTTCCAAGTCACTGCAACATGAGTGGACATTTGTGCAACGAGTCAATGAATGCGATGCTACTGCCTTCACTCCTCTTGAGACTGCCTTGGCCGAGACGTTTCTCCCTCGTCTCTTCCATCCTCCTTCTCACGATGATTCCCTCCCGGCTTTGACTGTTTCACGTCGTCTTACGGCCCTCCCTGTTTAAGCCGGTGGCCTGGGCATTCACACTCAAGCATCTCATGTGAAAGCGGCTCAACAGACCCTTGCCACCATCAAGGCTGCTGCCCCTGCAGTCCGTCGTGAGGGTCTCCAACGGGCTTGTTCAACTGGGGCGTGGCTCTCCGTCACCCCCATGCCTGAGAATGACACTGTCCTCTCTCCCCTGGAGTTTCGGGATTCTCTCCATCTTCGATATGGACTGACCCCTTCGGATCTCCAACCCCACTGTGATGGCTGCAAGAAAAAGTTTTGGTCTCCACCATGCCTTTTCCTGCTCCCATGGTGGACTTCTTCTTCAGCGCCACAATCAAATTGTGCGCGAGCTGGCTGATTTATCTTCCATGGCTTTCATGCCCTCTGCTGTCCGCGACGAACCCCGTATCACTCTTGGTCGCCCAGCTATGGCTCCGATTGACTCTGCTGATTCTTCTCATGCTCCTACTCCCTCTGATCCCGTTGTCCAAGATCGGGGTGACCACCTAGTTCGGGGTTTCTGGCATCGAGGTACCGATTGTATTTTCAATGTCTCCCTCGTGGATGTTGAGTCTCCTGGTCGCCGTGGCCGTGGTGTCACTGCTGAGAAGGCCCTTTCTCGGCGGGAGAGGCAGAAGAAGACGAAGTACCAGGCTCAGTGCACTGCACAATGCCGCCACTTCACCCCTTTGTTGTTTCTGCTGATGGCCTCTTTGCTGCCGAAGCTACTGCTGTTCTCCAACGGCTCTCCCAGCTTTTGGCTCACAAGTGGTCCAAGCCCTACTCTGTGATTCGCTCTTTCATCTCGGCCAGGTTGAGCATAGCTCTTGCCCGTGCCGCGACGATGTGTCTCCGAGGCTCCCGTGTCCCAGCTCTCAAAGTTTCCAAGCGTTGGGATGACTGTGGTGCCCTCGATCTCTCCCGCTAGTCTTGCTCCTTGCTCCTCCCTGCCCTCTTGCCTTCCCCCTTTCCTTGGTTTCCATGCTGCCCTGCTTGCGCACTTGATTGCTTGCCTTGCGTTCCTGCATCGTGCCCTCCCCTCGAGCTCTGTCCCCATCCTCCTCTTAGCTCTCTCTAATCCATAGTAATTCCCGTTTCATACACCCGCGTCTTAGTCAACAATCAACCAGTAAGTCCATCCTGTGATTAGTCTGTAGGTTCGGTTGCATCCTGTGATTAGTCCGTAGGTCCGGTTGCCACACATCTCTCGAAAACATAGCTAAGCGTGTTAGTCAACAATCAACCACAGCAGCATATCTTTTCTAGTAGCTGGCATCGTCAGAAACAACAGGGAGGCGAAGCGTACCCTTCTCAGCACCACATGAGGTTAATTCCAGAGGAAGCAACATATCCTCCTCGTCCAATGACGACACTGACCCACTGCCATTAGTCCCATCCCCATGTCTTGTAAATTCCAAAGTCAACCCCTCAAATTCGTCCACGATGTCGGAAGCTTCATCATCATCATACCCGCAATCACAAGCAGCCATCAGATTCAAAATCCCAGCAGTCGCCGTTGAATAGGCACAGGCAGACAGATTGGAGCATGATTTGAAAGCCAAAGGCCAAGGATCAGGGATAAACGCTGCCAGATCCCCAGGGTAAAGCACCCCAAGATCAATCACGAGCAACTTCAAGCGGCCATCGAAGGCATTTGAAACATTCAACTTGAGCCCCGCGACGTCAACGGTGTGAGGAATCCTGACTCGTTTGTCACGTATCAGAATATTCCTGAGTTTTAATAGCTGGCGAAATGATGATCATGTGGCTGCTTTTCGTGGTGGTCCCAATTCTTTGTCAAGCGAATCCGCGAGGATCAGAGTGTTTTCCCTCAGAACGGTTGTAGCGCACTCCAACTGTTCTGGTGTGGCCCAATCAGCGGAATCCTGTTCTGTTGTTTGCGAAAACATTGTATAAGTAAAAGGGCTGTCGCAAACGACGAGAACCTTGTAGGGTTCTCGTGGCGTCCATCGGGTTATTTTGTCTTGATCCAAGAGAGGAATAATCACGAGTTTACCCTGGCTCAGAGTGTCGAATATGCCCTGGTGGTTCCAATTCAGGAAGATCTTATTCACCGAGAGCGGCACAACACATACCCACTCAGCACATCCATCAAAACTTCGCAGTGACCTCGGCATATAGCATCCTCCGGAATGATATGCGCTCTACCTTTGTTTCTTCCTCCCGTAAGTGAAGTGGCCTTCATTTCGACGCGGCGCTCATCTCTCGTCCCTCTGATGCGGTTTGCCGCGACAGAACTGACTGAGGAAACTTCCATCTCCTCGGCGCTGCTGTGCTCTTACGTCACAGTTATAATGTCGTCGTATTGATGCAGAATTGAATCATCACCTTCACGCAATCGCAAGGCCGCTCGGTAGTGGTCGGGAGTTTTTTCGCGTCGCAAGGTCAAGGCGTCGCTGTAACTTCCAGTGTACTCTTCCTCGTGTGAACACTCCCAATCATCCTCAATCGTGCTGTACAGGTCTCCAGTTCGTTCCTGAATCCGCTCCTCCTTCGAAAGCATCCGAGGATTTTGAGCTGCCCCCATCTCTCTTGGCTTGTATCCTTTGCTGTCTTTTCTGTCTGCTCCTTATCGGCTTTCTTGTTGTTTGCTGGCAGTGTTTGTGGTGGCGGTGAGCTGCAGGGTGCGGAAACGGGCCTTAAAAATCACCAAGTTTGCGTGAAACGAAATAGCCGTTACTACTACTAGTAGTTTCTTTCACCCATGCCTGAAACTAGCTAGGGGTTAGTTTCACGCATGTTTCAAGCATCGTCACGCAACTTGAAACTATTAATAGTACCGGTACCGGTACGCTGTACAGTCGTACCGGTACCTGGCAAGGTACCCGTAAAAGTGATTAGTTGAAGGGGCTCCAGAGGGGAGAAGGAGGAGGGTTAAGCTAGTCTGGACAAAGGCATCTAGTTGCACATGTTTTGAGTTGTGGTACCCGTAAAAGTGATTAGTTGAAGGGGC